TTCTGTCAGACAACAACAACTACAACACTAAAAGCGTATCATGCCGACCGGTGGAAATAATACTGAGCCACATAAGAAACGTTCAAATAAAAAACGATCTCTTAAGCAAACATCAAAATCAAGACGACGAATAACAGAAAAAAATGATACAAAAAATTCTAAGAAAAATACTTGTAATGGTTTGTATTTGTTATTGTCGTTTTTCTTCTATAAAAATTGAATTAATCATCTATATTTAGCAAATGAATCTAATTTGAATACACTAACATCGGCTAATTTATCTTCTCTTCGTTGGGATAATGTATTAAGTGATGCAACACTTGAAAATGATCGTATTGAACAATATAAAGAACTTCGACGACAACGATATTCTGAAGCTCGACAACAAGCGATTGAAACTATAGTTGAAAAAATGAAAATAACAACTGTTAATGTCTCAGAGAAATAAATGGTGATCTTACTCGGTGATCTCACATTTTAATATACTTTTTTTTTAAGAATGAATTTATAATTCTCAATTTTTATTGATTTAATAAATATCTAACTCTGCCATACTTGTACTATTAGCAAGAAAAGTCCTCAAATATGAATCTAGACCATAGGTCTAAATTGACCGAACTTGCACCGGTGCATGAGTCGAAAATCTTTTCAATAGAAAACAATGGATCGGACTGAACTGATTCGAAGTTATGATGGGTGCCCATACGCCGAATCTTGAATAAAATATGAAATTTTCAAAAAATGTTCTGCATGTCAATTATTGTCTGTTAAAAAAATAATGGTCGTGGCCATTTTTGCAATAATTCAAGAAAGAAAAGAGATAGACAGCTGCTGTTTTCATCCGTCGAAAGAGACGACAGTAGGGCATCTTTTTCTCCAATATTGTATAAGACGAACTCATTTGAAAATCAAACGTTTTTACAAAACATCGAAAAAATCTGAATGTCTAACTCCAAAATTCCGCTATCAAATATTTTGTAAACTATCAAGTAAACTCCCCCCCAGAATAAAAGGCCATGGCCTTCTATTATGGAAATTCACATCGGACTTTTCAGGGTGGCCTTCTATTAAGGGTGGCCTTCTAATAGGACTTTTATGGCAAAAACTTACAAGTTTTTTTTGTTAGTTACTGATTTTGTTTTTCGAGCTCNCAAGCGTCAGTATAATAGACTCGAAAACACTCTTGATAGTTCATTCCTTAAGAAATTTTTTGTCTGCCCTCCCGACAGCTGAGTTTGCCCCCTCGGAGTGAAAAACCTAGATAAAACACTGGATTAGCTATTGGACCAAATCTACATATTAAGAAAAAAAATTATAAATTTATATTTACTTTTAAATAAGTTGTTGAATCAAAGCTAAATAAAAAAAAATATTTTTTATAAATAGATACTTACTGACCATTTTGACATTGAGACCCATCTAAATAGAAGAGAAAAATATAATTTTTTTACATAAACACTTGCTTTTCCTTTGGATATTGAGATCGATCTAAATAAAGGAGAACGAGAATAGCTTGTATAAAATAATGCTTATTATTCATTTGGACGTCGAGATTAATCTAAACGAGAGGAAAGAAAAAAATTTATGTAGAATAACACTTACGGTTCATTCAACGTTGATGTGAACCTAAATAAAAGAAAAAAAATTATGAATACTTACAGTTATGTATATAATATTTTTCAATAATTAATGCAAATTATATAAAATGCTCGGTTGTTCTCACTTAACCGACGGTTTGTCTTTTAACCGTCGGTTTTGCCAAAAAAAAAGACGACATGGGATGTTTATTAATGAGCAATTTAAACGCCAAATTAATTTTGTTCATTTGGTTATACTAATAGTCTTAAAATAATCATAAAAATTCATGAAAAAGATCGAATGTTTTATCTAGAGTGTACAGATGGTAGTAGTGGGTAGTCACTGAAACATTTTTGAAGAAGATTATAACGAAACTAGAAAAGAAAATAAGTTAAATGGACCAATCAATGCATGTTGAAATCATTATGACCTTTTAAATTAATAGCACTATGTTCTATTTCTCACACGAAAGAATGACATGTCAGCTAGTGATATATATATGTTTGTCAAATTAGTTTATAGAAACTAAAATTTGATATTATGGAAGCCAAATCAAATATAATTAATGCATTATTTATTTCGATTCTCATTGATATTTTCGAATTTACTATTATTTCACTATGATTACCGAAAATTTTAACTTATTACAGAAATGACATTAATGTATATGAAGTAAGGTAATAGAAAAAAAAATTTCTTCTTGTGTTTTTTGCATATAAAAAACAAATTTTGTCAAAAACCTGTCATTTGCTCAATATATTCGAGATTTAAGTGGAGCACTTAATAATTCTAAATGAAATTCAGTTTTATTTGGTAGTACAATAAGAAAACTTCTCTTCGTGTTTTTATTACACAAGAAACAACGAATCTTTTTTTTTTAAATATTTTATATTCAGTTCTTTCTGTTCTTCAACATTATTTCGTGTTATATCAAACGTTATGGTCGAAAACCAATGTTTCTTCTGTCTATGCTAAGAGTATATTTATATTTTATGTTCTATTCTGTTTTAATTTTAGATGAGCATATCAATATCATACGGTTTATAGTGTATTTCATTTCATATAACTATTTTTATGTTAGTACGTATTATTAGTGAACTTTCAGAAGAAAATATTACTATAATATTAGCTATCGTATCGGATACGACTACCAAAATAGAACGAAATCGAGCAACGGTGAGATGATGAAGTAATTTCTTATTCTCTTGAAAACATAGCCTGTTTAGTTTTTCTGTTTTTTTATTTATGAAGGCTTGGATTGGCGCAGAATTTTCGTTAGATATTATTTTCGATCCATTACTCGGTGCTTTATTATAAGCAATTCAGTATTGTTTATTGGACAACAATATCGACTATTTTTTTTAAAACTATTTTGCCTGCTCGTATTTCACTTCTATTATTGTTGATTAGTATTGTATTTATTAATGAATTTTGTCCAGAAATATTACCAATGTCCAAGCAAGTTTGTTATTTTATTTTATTTTTTTATTTGTTTAGTTTTGAAATATTCAATAGAATAAAATGCAAACCACTATGAACGATGTTTATAATGTGATATTTCCTCGGTGTTAATTTCAATTTATACTATTCATAATGTTAAATGTAATGGTGGTCTTAAAAATACATCTTCAATCAATGATTCGTATTTTTGTTTTATTTATATATTTTTATTTTACGTCATCTTGATTTAATATATTTTTTTTCTATATAATTTTATATTTGCTGATCTTAGATTTACAATTACTTTTCTTGTGGACAATCAATTTAATTTGAATAGGTAAATATTTAAACAATTTGTTTTATATAAAAACATGTTCTTTTTATTGTGTTTTTCAGTAGTATGAAACAAGGAAAAATGTTGTTTATTATGGATTTGGTATAAAAGTGGTTATGTTTAGAAGAGTATCTCATGGTAAAGAGATTACAGCAACTATAAATGTAAGTTATTTTTGATTATCTCATAAACATTCAATTAATTTCATTTATTATCAATCTTGAACTATAATGTACTACACTGTTTTTTGAATAACTTTTGATAGGAACATCATGGAGACCTGTTGTTTTCATCATGCAAGAGAGAATATTCGAAGCCGTTGAAGTATATCGACATTTGATTGGTCAGTATTGAAACAGTCAAGTGAGTGAAAACTTTTGAAAAGGGTATTCTGAAACTATGTTCCTTTCGATTTAAAAGTTTAATAGAACTAATCGATAGAAAAAACCGATTTCGATCAAATGATCTGTGATCACTCGAACAAGCAGCTGGGCAGAGGTAATTCACCATGTTAAGTCGAATGGTGATATTTCTTTTTCGGTTAAAATTGGTCTGACGCTGTTATCTCAATATTTGCAAAATGTCGACTCATTTGTTATATAGAGGCAAATTGTGAATCTTCATAAATATTGAGATAATAGAGTCAGATCATTTCGAACCCAGAAACACGTTTCACCATTCAACTCAACAAGGTAAATTATGTCTCCCTAGCTGCTGTTCCGGGTGATAACAGGTCAATTGGTTGTAATTAGCGATCTAAGAAGAAACCTTATAACTGTTGAATGGAACAAGCTAGGAATATTGATCGTATATAGATCGAAAGAGATATAACTTTAGAATATGGTTTTCGTAAATCTTCACCAAGAACTCACCTGACTAGTCAAAAACTAATCAATTGAATTTCTATATATGTTAATGACCTCAGATCTTCGCTTTTGAATGCTGAAAATCGCAGGTCTCTATGATGTTCTAGTCAAAATTTATTCAAAAAACAGTGGAGCACATTCTATTTTGAAATGGATAGTAGTTTAAGATATAATTTTTAAAATAAGATCTATTAATTAGAATTATACGCTTTAATTTTAATATGATCTATTATACAAGTAAACATTTCGAATACTGTTGAGAAGGTCGCCCTTTTTCTATAGATCGTATTTATCTAGACACATATTATTCGTAGCATATGAGCTAGTGAGTGATAGTTGTTCTCACATAAAATCAAAGAAGAGCCATTATGTTTGGATAGTTGCTGCTAAAAAGTATTATTGATAATTAGCAAAAGCAAAACCTGGGCAATAAGATAATATGAAGACTATCGTTCATAAGGATGTAGGCGTGAGCTATGGTATCGGTGTCAGTCTTCCTGACAGTGACATCTATATCTACATTCAAACAGCTACTTCGAAGGCGTAATAGCACGATGATTCGTTGTAATCGTCCCACTGAAAAAAAAAATGAGTTGAGATTTTCAAGAGTTACATTATTATTCTACAGTGCTTTAAATGTAAACTTCAATATTTATACGTAACCATTTTCTATCATATTAAAATCTTGATTAACAAGGAAGATATTCATGAATAAAACTCGCTGAATTCAAAATATTTTGATTTAAAAATAGAACAAATAAGCAAAAAAAAGAAGAGAAAAATTAAACGTTAGTAGGTCCTCGACTTGATGTTTTAAATGGTGGCTCTTCTAAACTCATAACAATTTCATCTTCTTCTCGTTGGTATTCGTCAATTTCAGCTGCATTTTGTCCTGGATGATCCCTATCTAGTTTTTTATAACGTTGAAAACGTGCGAAAAATGTTGATGGATCTTTTCGATAATAATAGATTCCAATGAAGAAAATGCCAATTAAAATTACACCGATTGTTTCATATATGATATAATGTCTTAGAAAATTTTTAGTTTGTTTTGCAACCGAATCTTTTTTTGTTGAATTTATATAACGAGTTAGACATTTATCTAATTTTACTTGATTCTTTGTCATCCAAGTTCCATTTTGTTCAAACCAATTAGCATACATATATAAAAGATTATCATTTGGCTTCGTCTGTAGGCAACGATCAGTTAATTGTTGGGTATCATTCGATATATAGAATAAACGTAATGATACAGTTAAAATTGCGTTCGGTTCGACAATTTTTAATGGATTTCCAGTTAAATCAAGAATTTGTAGATTAGGTGATTGAAATGCATATTGTTGAATTGTATCGATTCTATTCCATGATAAATTAATTTCATAAAGACTAATTAATTTATGATGAAATATATATGATGGAATAATTTGTATTAAATTTAATTTCAAATTAATTGTATGTAAATAACGACTTGTTAAATTTGTAAATAAATTTTCTAATGCATCAATAAAGTTATTTGATAAATCAAGTAATTTTAATTGTTCATTTTTTAATAAAGAAAAATTTTCAATTGTTTTTAAAGAATTCTTTGAACATTTAAGTTCATTTAATTCTAATAAATATTGATTTAATATTAATTTATTTAAATATTGATTTGAACAATCTAAATAATGTAATTTCATTTGTTTATCTAAATTAAGTTCAGTTAAATGATTAAAACTTATATCTAAACGACGTATATCATAAAAATCCATTTCAAATGAATATAAATTTGTTTGAGATATATTTAATGATAAATCCATTCCATCAAAATCACTATTAAGTGGAATTTTTGTTATATTCATAGGAAATTTTGCTTCATTTTCACTATAATCAATATTTGTTGTTAATTTAAATAAAATTATTAATCGTTGTGATAAATTAAATGTTTGATTATGTGCTGTTGTTGAACGTAAATTTACTGATTTATAAATTGTATTTGAACGCCATATTATTTTATTTAATTCAATTGGATTATAAGCTAATGATATATGATGAAGATTTCTAAAATCATTTAAAGCAATATGATGAAAATTATTATTTGATAAATCAAGGCGATCTAATACAGGAAAACGATCATTTCTAAACCATTCAGGTAAATATTCAAGTTTCAATTGACGTAAATATAAATTAACTAATTGTTGACCATTAAGAATATCACCTGGTTGTGTTTTACATTTAAGTAAATGTGTTAAATGAATTGTTATATTATTTGATATTGATTCAAATTGAACAGATGATAAATCTAATGTTGTTATTTGTTGAAATAAATCAAATAAACAATTACCATTTAATTGTGTACCGAATTGGAAACGAGAATTTTGTAAATCAAGTGTACCTGTTATTGTTCGTACACCATCAAATAATTGACTCGAATGAGAAAATGTATTTGCATCATAGACATTATTACGTAATATAAGATCGTGAAGCTTTGAAGAGATTGTATCTAAATTTATTTAATAGAAAACATTTTTAGTATTTTATGATAAAGGTTTAGGAGTATAATGTGAAATTCATTGATGTCTATATTGTTAGCTTTTTCTGTTAATTCATAAATCTGAAGATAAGAGTAGTTATTAGACGAGCATTAGTATATAGTATATAGAAAATGCTAATTTGTTCACTATGACTAGAAAACTATCACATTATCCAACCAATCGATGAAATATTGTGAACAATTTTCATACGATTGTGGTGAACATAGGATACTATTTTCCGTATTTAACCTTCTGGCATAAACTTCTATATGAACCACAAAAGTTGCATTGCTGATCTGACATATAAAACAATATATAAATTTTGATTTGGTATGAAATTTATTTCAACAAGTCATAACAGCTCAAAAGATCCTCGATTTAAAAAGATTGTACCTATTAATATCATTGAGAAGAAAAACATGAAATAAATTAAATCAGCAATACGTCGTCTATCTTATGTCGATTAGTTTTTTTCTCTATTAAGTTTGCTAGGTTTCAGTTTTTTTACACGTAAGGATTTATGAAACCTAGCTGTTGAATTTTGTAGCGAAAGAGTGAAACTAATCGGAAAGATAGATATTTATGATGAATGTTAAATATCAAATGAAAGAATCTTTGAAAGTTTTACGATTAGAATCAAGAAGAATTGAAATCATAAATAAAGCATTAGGAAATGTCAGATCAAAAAATAAGACTAGGCTTTTTTTATTGTTCCAAGAGGCATTGCTTAATAAATGATGTCAATCAAAAATAAAAATGAGTAAAATAAACGACAAAATGAAGTATTTTCTAATGAAAATAATTTTTAAAACGAATGTTTAAGATATATCTACATCTCTTCTAAACAATATCCGATGATTTTCTCTAAATTGAGATAAAAAAATATCTGATCTTCCACATTTTCACTATGATACATCAAAATTAACATTTTATTTCATCACAGATGACATACCGACCGTAAATAATCATTTACGAGATATTTTTCAAACTTTCTCATTCACAATCCATGAAACAATTACGTTTCCGTTTGTAATAACGATTAGGTTTTCTGGTATTAGTATAGTTTAGGAGAGAATCTCTCGAAATAATTCAAAACTTTTCACCTTATATTTTCTTTATAACTAGTGAACCTAAAGATCAGACAAAAAAAATCAACGAATATGAGTTCATATTATGATTTGGCTGACGTATATAGCAGTCTTACTGAAATTTCCTTATAAAACTCTGACTTTTCAGCAAAATTATCTTTCTAACGTGATAGGTTATCTCGACGAGCACTTCGCTTATAGTTTAGCTTGTATAGAAAACCTCAGAATTTTTTCGAATAATTTGGTAACATAAAAAAAAATGTACATAAACTGTATTTTCAGAAATAAAATATACCTGGTGTATTAAGACAAGTTTTATACATATCTGATTCACTTAAATCAAGTACTTCAAGTTTTCTAAGTGGACGAAAAATTTTTTGACATTCATTTGGTATTTGCTTGCAACATGAAGATAAATTTAATATTTTTAAATTTTCATATATAAATGAATAAAATGAATTTGAATTCAAAATGAATTTTTTTCCTTGATTACTTAATGAAAGACTTTCAATAACATATGAAAATTTAGTTAATTGAATAGTGTTATTCGTAAATTGTTTTAATGATAAAGAATTTGATAAATCAATTGAAATAATATAATTATTTATTGAACCATCATCATCATTAGTAATTTCATCGTCATTTATTGACCATTCTTGAGCTTCATAAATAAGTTGTTGATTATTTAAAAATATATTTGAACAATTCATAAGATAAGACATTCGTGGAAAATCAATGTCATTAATATCAGTTGGTTTACAAATACATTCGGGTGGACATGGAAATGAATTAATAATCGTTAAAGAAGATAATAGGATGAAAATAGAACTTGTAAACATTTTCTTGATGTGTGTTCTTCAAGAAAAAGAAATGAAAAAACTCTCGTACTTGTTTTCTTTCATGTAGTTTTATATTCTCGATTCTTTTATTCTTTAAAAGTCGACAGCCGACAAAGTAAGAAAAAAAAATGATTCGTTCGTTTCTTCTTTTTTTCCTAGTTTACTTTTTATATACTGTGAAAGGATGTCAGAGATAAGAGAAAAAAAGAAGAGGTAATAGGTCACTCTTCTTCGCCTTTCTTTTCTATTTACTGTTGCATATAAACAATGCATCAGTTGACTTTTGATAATCGAAAAAAAAGTTGTTTTTTTTTATTGTTTACGAGTAGGAGTACCTCGAGGTCACCAGAATTGGGAAAGACGAGTTGAGTGTCTTTTTCGAAAACAAGGGATGGAATCGTTTTCAAAAAAGAACAAATCGATTCCATTTCTGGTATAAATCAAGGAGGAAAAAACAAACAATAATAAGTTGGAACTCTGCTGCAAAAACAACGAAAACTTTCTAGATTCGGGGGGAGGGGATCACTCACTTGGAATATCCGTATTTTACATCATATATAAAGGGTGCTGTATAAGTTCTAGGCGTCAACAAAAATTAATTTATATAAATGACCTTTTTTATACGTTGTATATGTCAAAAATATTTTGAGAAAAATTTGCGGACATTTTTCAGATGCAAAAGTTATCTTTTTAAACGTCTTTACCCAGCGTTTATGATGAAAGTAGCTGGTTTTTATGTTCTTCAGGTCGAACAAGGACATTCATAAACGACTGTAAGTCGTCCTATTATGGTGTATTGCATGACTCAGTATTATTATTATATTTCTCGATATTATATACGGAGAAATACGAACTTAAAGTCGGTCGTTGATTGAGTCCATATAATTCGTCGGGAGTTTCTGAATGGACGTGAAAATGTTTAAAAGGGAACCAGGATTAGGGCATTTAAATATGTTATCTGAGATTCTTGCCTAGTTGGGTAAACACGTTATATGTGTGAGCATAACTAATGCGACGTGGACTTTTGTTTTAGTATCAACATGTTCGAGTTACAAAATCATAGGTTTCATAGGAAATAGTTTTATTAAAACCATATGTTACATAGTTAATAAGCGATGATTATTTCTCATATTGTTATATACATACAGCTACTTGACGTTCTCTTTTCCTCATTTTTATTCTCCCTTTTCTAGCTGTTTTTCTTCATTTTGTCTTCAGTCTATATATCGGCGTGTTTTCTTTTTTTCCGTTCTTCCTGTCCTCTCTCAATTAATTTAAGGACATTTTTATGTACAACTTTTAACAGAGAAGAAGATTATTCTGGATTTTTCTTTCTCTTCTTGCTCGTATTTCTTTTCTATGTTTCTCAATAAAATCGATATTTTTGCTCTACAAAGTATATCTTATCTAAGTACTTGATTTTCTCTCTATACTGCGCTCAATGAAGTTTTTCTCCTACTATCTAATACTGTCTAGTATTTTGTGTAATATAGCATTCTTTTATATAGGGCTCGTTGAACTCTATTTGAACGTAAAATATGAGCGCATTTTGAAGAACTTTGGTTGTTGAAAAAAAATGATATTTTTCGAAATGACTTTTTAGTTGTGAACACTTTTCGCTAGGAAAAATCATTAGACAAATACAGATTTCGAATTGAACCTATAATTTGAAAATTTTATTTTTACCTGTTTACAATGTCCTATCATAGTGGTACAAAACCCGATAAAGTACAGAAAATAAGACAAGCTTTCTTAGTGAATGGTAGTTTTCTTTTAAATTCTAGAGGCGCACAGAAAACTTTTCAGCCTTTCTTAAATATTTTACACAACTTTGCAATACAGACTAACAAGAAAACTATCAAATCCTCACGATGAATTTCTGTCACACTAAACTGAAAATAAAAAGGAATCTACAATTTCGCATCATGCATTATTTAAATAAAATGTTGTATTTGAAAATGATGTTATGTAATTTTCAGAAGAAAAAGTTTATCATAAATAAAATAAAATGACTCTTTCTTTGTAAAACTTGTATGCAGATATTCCTATGAAAAGATTATTTAGATTTGATAAGAAACAAGTCATCTAGGTACGACACATGTAATAACATTTAATCAAACTATTGTTGAATCGATGAAATAATTCTTATATTTCATATTACAATGCTGGATAATGAATTCAGGTATAGTTGAAATGTACAATTATAATCCAAGAAATGTTCACATTGATTAAACAGTGAAAAAAATTGTCTATCGAAAAACTTCAGATATTTAACTCTTTACTCCTTGGTATTAGTCCCGTAAATTTTGTGTTCATACCATTACAAGAATAGCTTATGCAGATGTTGATTATGGCATTGATATGGTTAAATTTGAGCAGAGTCACTCCACTGTGTAGATGTAGAATGAACTATAAATGATCCATTCATATTGGATGATATAAAAATTACATGTATTGTTAATTTGAGTTTTTTGCGCTTTTTTTGAGTTATGCTGTTGTTATTTTATCTGTATAAAGCTGAAAACTCACTTGTGAATTTCTTTTTTTGAAAAATGAGTAATTTCGGTGGTTGATGTATGGTTAGACGCTTGCAAAGGTGGCTGTTTTCGCACTGAAGTTAGTTCTTTCATTTGGCGAAAGGTGTTGGTATCATTTGTCTTGGTTTTCTTTTTATAGTATGAAATCCTTTGTTCTGATTTCTATGCAAAATCACTTATTTCTATCGTTGAAGTCTCGGCTAGATCAAAGATCATAATAAAAGCTGCAGTTTTTGTATCTAATATCGATAAGAAATTATTTAAAAAGCGGTTGTGAAAAACGTTTACTGGCTATTAGTTTTAATAAAGATTCTAACATGATAATCATGTTATTTATCAGCTGATGTTGAAAATAAAATAATTAAAAGAAAAATTTTTCATGTTAGTCACAACGAATGAGTCAAAAATGACCTAAGTTGTCATGAAAAATGCTGCTTTCACATGTGTGACCAGGTAATTTTTAAAAATTACTCTGCTAATGCACCATATCCACACAGTAGTATATATATCAACTTGACAAACATCAGAAAAATCAGTCTGTGTAACTAAATGAAATAAGAAAAAAGCAGATTCTTTCATTTTTTCGAAAAAGCATCGTGTGAAATATCAAAATACTTGAAAAATACTAGACAATGAAATATTTATTTGGGTATGTACCGAAAGGTCAAAATGAAAAACGTTGAAACCAGAAAATATAGAAAAAAATAAAGTGATGTGTCAAGTAAACGCTAATTTTAGACGTCTATAGTATATGTTTACGTTTTTCACTATTCTATCGGTTTGTATGTGTAACCAGGGATGTCCATAACAGCATTGTCGTAACGGTGACGTCATCAGCGACGCGAGGTATTTTTCAAAAATACTATCGCAGCGGCAGCTTGTTTTTCTAGGAAAATTTGAAACTGCGTGAATTTACAGTCTATTTGAGTGTCTGCAAGTTCATCAATCAAAATCGTGGTGAATCTGATGATGTTAATGTAATTGTATTAATTTAGCACAGTGATAGAAGAGGTGTTCGAAGAATTTCTCAATAACCATCGCGGCAACAACAGATTTTCGGTCGCGATGGGCATCTATAGTAGTAACGTAATGAATACTATCTGCTAGACATTAACTAAATAGTTGAAAAGATAATTACTATACAACTAAAAGTCTATTATCATGACGTCAACCAGCTCATCTTCACCAGACGTGCGTAGATCGGTCATCATTGTTAGTTATTTCATTTTTTAGTTCACAAAAAAAGAGATCTTTGCTCTTATTAGATAATTTGAATAATCAGTTAATTAAAATAAAATAATTGATGATCACAGCTATCCCTGTAGATGAAGAAAAAAATTGAAGTATATGAATTTTGTAGAAAAGTTTTCTTGTGACTAGTGTATAATCTCTCTTACAACGTTAATATAATCTTATACAATACAAGAATGTCTTGCTAGTCAGAATTTTCTAAAGCACTGTTTGACCATTTTCTACTTCGATGTATTTTTTTGTTCACCTTTCTACGGCCAAGCTTTGTTTTGATCATTTAATTTGAACTATTTATATAGAGAATTTCGATACTCATTGCATCATTTATTAATTATATTGAATTTTGTTCAAACAATAATTCTTTCATAGTTTAGTTTAATATTCTTTTCTTTTGATAAAATAAAACTGTATTAATAAATAAACTTTTATTTTGTCATATATTTAAAATTGTCTATTTTTAAGTGTTGTAATCAATGATCTTATTAACTTTTCTTATAAACGTTTAGAGTGACAAAATTACAATTTTAGGAGTATTTAGAAAGTTACAAGTATTTGCCACAGTCACTAGTTCATTACGTGCATCATTTGGTAACTTTCGTTTTTCATGTATATTATCAATATGAATATCGTATTTCTAATAATAACATATTGATCAATTGGCGAAAAGACAACTTATGTATTTGATAGTCTATTATTATTATGTTCTCTTGATATTCTTGTTAATGTTAAATATCGTTTTAAAAAAATGTGTTGAATATCGATAATAACAGCTACTAAAGTGAAAGTTGCTTCAACAAGTGATGATCAAAAATGCTCAAATGATTTGAAAAACAAATTAGATCATTTTCATTTATCAGTAATTCATTTAAAAAAACATTTTTTGTTAATACAGCGGGTGTTTCTTTGCATTAATTTTTTATTCAGTCAAGGATATTTGTGTGTGTGCCATTGGTTTGTGTTCTTTTTCTTCTATTTCTTCAAACACAGCTGGTATTTTTCTCGAGAATAATTTTCGTTTCGATGTGCAAATAAAAAAGACCCACACAACGTGAAACCTTTGCATTTTCTTTTTCATTTTTTTATTCTGTTCTGTATGTGAGTGAGTAGAGTGATGTTATAGCGTGTAAAAAATAATGAAATCAATCAAGTGATAAATGCTTGATCATGTTTATGCATTGTCTATTTTTATAGACTTATAATCGAGCTAGATGATTGTTTTTTTTTTTGGATTAATTATATGAGATATGAGAATAGATGGAATAAAAATTTTAGTTTATTTTTATGCTTGAAAATTTTCTTATGCAATAGATTTACATGAATTTTAATTGGAGGACTAGTTAGCAGTAGTTTTGACATCGTTTGTTGTCCTACATGCATCTTGTCCTTGTCACAAAAAACAAAAAATACGTTTATCGTAATAGTTCGAATAGTCGAAATAAACGTTTGACTATTCGAGTATTCATTTTATTTCTTTGTGCAGACTTTTATTCTCGAATTTTCTAGAAAATTTTTTCAACATATTTAACAGTAGTAAGGCATAGAATGATTCTTCTTTATCTTATGCATCTATTCATTGTTTGAGTCTAATCGATTTCGAATAGCTAAACTCCCCCCCAGAATAGAAGGCCACCCCATATTAGAAGGCCACCCCCATTAGAAGGCCACCCTGAGTCATATCTGCAAAAGTCATATTAGAAGGCCACGACTTTCTAATAAAATGTTTGGATATTACATACATATGCGGTGGGAGTTTTATAAATATCTTAGCATTTTGAGAGATCATGCATGATATCCAGCGCATTCCTGTTGGGTTTTACTATAANTTAGCTCAAAAAGCTTAAACAAATTTCAATTTTAAGTTGCCGAGCTCGAAAAACAAAATCAGTAACTAACAAAAAAAACTTGTAAGTTTTTGCCATAAAAGTCCTATTAGAAGGCCACCCTGAAAAGTCCGATGTGAATTTCCATAATAGAAGGCCATGGCCTTTTATTCTGGGGGGGAGTTTACGTTATATCCTTCAGTAATAATAACAATCGAAATTAATTTTTAGCAAAATCGAAATTGATTAGTAAAATAGTTTTATAATGTCCAATCAATACTTGTTTTCTTTCGTTTGCATTAGAAATTCAGTTTTTTTTCTTTGTTCTTATCATGAATGATCTTGTTACATTTTATTTTTAGATAAGTTATATCTATTAATAATCATTGAAACTAATAGATATGTTGATACCTTTATTTCAAGTATTATTTGCTGCAATGCGTACTGTTTCATTATCAGCTCTCAATTTAGTACTATATTCAATATTATCACGTATTTTTAGTAACTGGTTGGGTTTTAATAGTCTTATATCATTCTTTTGTTCGGCTTATTGTTTATCGAAAACAGTTCACTATTTGAAACGTGTATGGGTCAATGCTCGAATAACTAATAAAAAACCAGATGAAAAAATTTTTCTTGATGCATTGACATGGCAATCACCAACGACTATGCCTATCAAGTCAGTAAAACATAAAGTTTAATTTTTAGAACAGAATTTATTTCAGAGTAAATTTCTCGTCGAACAGAAAAAAAAATTATTTACAAGAGATTGAATAGAAAAACTAATAATTATACATGAACTACGAGAGACCGAAATGAATAAGAAAACCTAAATTCTGTTTCAATTTGATTCATGTTGAAAATAAGAAGGAGATGCCTGCGTTATGATTAGTAAAATTTATCTACATTTCGGATAACATCTCACTTTTACTTTTCTTTATTTTTTTTTTTATTAAATCTATCGTTTTAGAAGAACTCTGAACATTTCAAAGTTAATCTATAATATGAATTAAGACTTGAACATAATTAAGGTTGATAAAGTTATCTTCTTATTATAGAAAGATGCATATATTAGAAAAAAAAGTAAACTAACTTCTATTTTCAATCGAATTATATTTAAATAGTCTGATCTGAGCTGCAGCTAGTAATCTGGGATCTTCGTTAGATTAATTTCGCCGCTTTTGAATAAGAAAACTTCGATATTTAGTTTTAAGCTTAAGTTTTTCAAAGCCGGTTGTCATCCCAATTAACGAATCATCGTATACAGAAGAGTAATAAGTAATCGCATCTTCATTTATTCGGAAATCACTTTCTGTAATATAAGACATCTCTTGGAGAAACGATGTGCCAAACGTATTAGAAGACTCCCTATAATTAATTAAAATTTTTTCTACAATGGCAATTTTAAGTAGTAGATTTACGTCAAAAATATGTCGTCTTGTCAGCTGAAACATGTTGAAAGTCAGAGGTTAACATTATATTTGAACAGTTAAAAACCTAAAAATCTCTTCCGAAGTCCTCAAAATTGTTTAGGAGTTTTGATTAAAGGTTATGAAAATACGTGAAACTCAGTATCTTATATTGTGGAAAGCAGTTCAGCTTTAATGTTTGATCATGTAATCGATGCAACAAGCATCCCGGTGCAAAACATCGAGAACCCGTCCGTTCGGTAGCTCTAAATACTACGTAACACTAGAAAAATCTAGAACGTTCATGGACTGTTCCTTCTAAAACTAACACTCGTAGAATGAATATACAGAAGTTGACTTTTTTTTAAATGAAAATAAAAGCAATAGTTGAACTAATTGACATCTCACAGAAAAAATCTCAATCGTATACTGAAGTGGATTTTGTCGTTCATTTTTTAATTGTTAGCAAAGATATTTACTAGTGAGTCAAATAATGTGTTTTGATTTCATTTTCTTTGAGTTACCATTTGTCAAATATATTTTTTTCATAATCAATTTTAAATAGAACAAATTGCTTGAATTAACAATTGTTCATTATATTTTTAGTTATAAATTTCGGCATTTGTTCAAAGATTTTGATTGTTCGATTCAATTGATTTTTGAAACGAATGGAATTAATTCGAGCTGGAATTCAAACTTTTTCAGAAGTTTATTCATTAAATGTGTGAAAACAAAACATTCAAACAGTTATATCCTTGTCTTTTTCTATTTCTGACATTTTACAAGTATCATTCTATTTTTTACTGAAATGTAACGTTATTCCATCTTTTGTTGTATACATAGGCAGCTGAATATTTTAAATATAGAGTAGACTCAGCTATCTTTATAGGATCCTCATCGAAGAGTAAAGAATATGGAAGAGGAGGAAAGGGCGAATTATTTGAAACTCTCTGGATGAAACATAGTAACTCTTTTTTTCCAACTCACACATTGTATAGTATAAAGTTAGTACGGCTCAGAAAAAATTCAGATGTTGTATCAAACAACCATCCACTTGAACAATGACACCAATATTTGTCTTTAATTAATTTTTACACTCGAAAGAAGAGTTTTTCGATTTGTTTTACTGAAAAAAGATGAATAATAGCAAATCAGGAGTGTTCACAAAAGAAAAGAAGCTTCACTGTAGGTGTGTTCACTTCGTTGAAAATATTTCTTAGACATGTAATAGAGTCTTGCGAGACAAAATTTTTCGTATTCTGAATCTTGTTTGTCCCGTTGATTGGAAGGTGGTTGACTACACAAAGTGTAATAACTGATTTATTGCTTCTCACTAGCTTAGTTGTCATGACAAAGTCTTCCTCTTCTGCTCGATGCATTACTTAGGACTCAAGTCAACCATTTGTTTTTCACGCCTAACCGTCATTTCGAAATAAGAAAAGTTTGCGAGATCTGAGGGTGTGACAAGTGCATATCTGAAGTCTGGTTTTTAAGAACTCGATTCCTTCTTGACGGCAATAAAAATGTAAAAAATCATGATTCATAGCTGATAGTTTCCTTATATGACTATAGTGGGTTCAGATTTACTACTTTTGAACTTATTAGCTAAGCCAAGATAGCTGAATGTGACTGAAATTCATAATGGTTTCCTCTACGGAAGTTTGATATTTAGAAATAGCAAATGTCGTATCGGATAATGTTCTGACATTTTTCGGGTTCGTGTAATCAGCCTCCTTTTGTACTCGGCCTTTGCTCCAATGACAGTCTAGTTCTTCGTCTGTTCTTATTTCTGTTATTTATTTACATATTAAGATATTTGTTAGAAACAAAAACATTTAAAGTGTACAACATGTTTTTATGTAAGAGTTAGAAACATTTGGGACAGCCTCAATTGTTCCGCAGGACTCTAGCATATAAACTTAGTAACTAAAGGTGAAGAAAACTTTCCGCAGCTTGTAGTTTATCTAATTCGGGTTTCCGGTACAGTTTTTCTTTCACTTATATCAAAGAAATACAAAAAGTCATTGGCAATGTAGGACTCGACATTTAATCATAAAAAAAGCTGTTAGCGAAATCTCTACGGGATTATTATATAAAACACAATGTAGCTGCTGTTGCTAATCATAGAGAAATTGTTTTATTCTATATATGTTGGGACATATTTATTCACCCTTCTTTTACTTAATCTTCCATAAATTCAATAATGAAGTAGTTCATATATTGTAACCAGCTGTTATTGATATACAATCTCTAAATCTATTAATCTGATGAAATGATAAACAAATCTTTGAGACTACTCTGACCTACAATACCTGAATCACGGGTAGGCTTCAGCTTATTCAAGCCTCATGGCTCTGCTGCCTGTGATTGCATATAGAAATTAGTTATCCAGATCATTTGATATATAATTTTTTTTTCTATTCATCCTTTGTATACAGCAACGAAGATCAGAGATCGCCCATCAATAAAGACAATAGACAACCTTTCTTAAAACTATAGCAATGTTTGTTGTATAGTCTTATAATCATTGAAATCAAACCGAAGTTTTTTTTTTCTTCATTAGATCGGATAATGAAAATGAATCAATTGATAAATTTGAAACTGATTGGAAATATTTACTTGATAATGATGTTAAAAATATATTTTCATCAATTGTTAATATACCATTTAGTAATGGTTGGTTATTTATTACGACAATAATAATAGTTAATTATCAAATGAATAGTTTCGGTTATAGTTATATCGGATCATTACTTCGTACAATTGGTCCTTTAGTCATATTAATATGTGGTTCAACTGTACGTTATCAAACATTATTTGAACGTGATAGAAACAATTTTTTTGATGTAATGCTTAAAAAACGTGATGAGATTGAACGTTACATTATTTATTCAAATAATAATACTCCTGTTGCATCGACTTGCTTACAAATAGTAAATAATTCTGAAACACCGACATTTATGGTACAATTATATCAAATAAATTCTAAGTTTGATGATTATCTATATGACATAGGAAATTATATGTGTCAAAAATTAATTGAACGTATTAAAACTTATGGACATGAAAATAAAAAATCTGTTCGTCTAATATGGTCATTTCCAACATGTAAACAAAATTGGAAAATTCCGATAAAAGATAATAAATTGATATTAAGAAATACATATAAAGATTTTTCATTTTTGCCATTAGTTAGCTCTCATGTTGAGCAATATGAATATTGTTATGAATACAAAGACTTATCATCAGAAATTATTAATGATACAATTAAAAACGAATAAAAAGAAAACAAACAATAATTTGTTTTTTTTTTCTGTTTTCTGTTTATTTTTCAAATAAAAAAACAAGCTCAAAGTCTTTATTTAAATCTGAATAGGTAGTGTTGGAATTTGTTTTGGTTCTTGATGATGAAGAATAGTAAGAGGAATTTTATTATTATTCATAGTAAATGATTTATGAAGATCATTATTTGTCCTAAACAAAAATTTAATTAAATAATTTCTAGTTTGAAATTTTTATTTACGATTGGTTTTTATTATCAGTTGATCGAATAGCAAAAGAACTTGGAGTTAATGAACGAGATACTTGAATATATTTTGCATATTTACCATAATCACGAATATCATTTAAACCTAAATAGAAATGATCAAATTTTTATTTTATCCATTCTATAGAATATGCACTTTTTTTAATAGTTACTCACGAAATTTCGGTTTGCAATTGAAATCTAAAATATAAAACAAACGATACTAAATCATTTTCGTAAGAATTCATTGTCAACAGGTAAATCTAATTAGGAAATGATTTTCAATGACTTTGCAATTTCGATTCTATTCTGCCTTCATAAACAAATCTTGATGAAAATATAATAAAATCGTTAAATCTTTCGTAAACTTGACGCTATGCTTTTAATTCATGAAAGATTCCATTGCAAAAAAAACTGTTTACGCAATCACTGCAAAATTGATATATGGAACATAATGTGCTACTGGTACTAATCACAGGAGAGCTATTTTATTCTATAGATTTTGGGCCACATTTCTTCACCCTTCTTTTACTTAGGCCTTCAAAATATACAGAAAATATTTATAACTATAAAATAAATAATAAAGAAAGTTTTTTAATGAAATTCTAATTTTTAATTTTTATCAGGTACCCTGGTGAACGTACTGTGTTCAGAATATCCTGCTTCCAATATGTCTCAAGAACCTCTGGATATTTTATAGAATTTTAGCACTCGACTATAAAATGTTTCCAATTATTCAATCTACCCGCTTGTTGAAAAACTTTCCATAGAATGATATAGAAGTTGGATAGTTATCTGGGCGGATGCTTGGTACCTATCTATGTAGTGAGACAATGCTCAGCGGAATACAAAACCAAAACTCTGTAAAATACTCTTGAACTCAGTACATTCACTAGAGTTACTCATAAAAATATATTGTGTCATAAATACAAATAAAATATTCAGAAAAGTGTTTTTTGCGTACTTTTTTTCATGTATTAGCTTCATGTTTTAATAATATTAAATATCGAACTAATGTTGGTAGTAAGAAACAATACTGATTAACATACTTGTTGTTATACTAGGTATTTCTCTATTCACTTATCACAACAAGAAGCATTTCTTTATTTTTAGAAACAAAGAATTCATTTACCTCTTTATTTTATAAACATAAAGACAAGGTAACATCCCTACCTATGAATGAGAAAGCAAGCATGGAACTAGTCTTCTTTGTAAAGGATCGAACTGAATCAATCTGTTTAGTCATTGACAGATCTAAATCTATCCTAATTATATAAGGTATAAGGAGCAAATTAATACACATGTTAGAGCAATGATTGAGGAAGCGACAGAGAAGTAATTTCGATCATCAAGATGCCGATCGACTTCTTTGAACTCTTTGTGAATATTCTCAACTGTTATCTTATTCAATACGAACGCAGTGGCTGATATGGATATTATATTGAGAAATATTAGGATTCTAGTAACTATTGGAAATTGAAATTTTTCATTATTAAATTCAATTTCATATGTAAATGTCATTTTCATAGAATAAAACAAAATCCATTGTTTTCGATATTTAATAGATCATATTTCAAGAGAAAATATTCATATCTAGAGTAACTTCATAGTTATTTTTGCTTCATTGAAACCTTTTTATAGCTGAAATAAATTATGAAAATTCTTTCGTAAAGTTATCCTACTAATCTAGATATTGAGTATTCAAAAACAAAAAAAAAACTTTCTACCTGCTTTCAAACGATCATTTAAAGTTTGTGAATAAGAATGGCTCCGTCGTACTTTAGTATCTTTGATATCATAAATCTAAATTTACACAAGTAAATTATAAGAATGAAAATCTCTTTTGTTTTTATTCTTTATTTACATGATATTTTTCTAATAAAGATAATTGTTGACCTCTTGTTAATGGTAATTTACGACGAATTCCAGTTGATTTTAAACGTTGATCAAATGATTCTTTAATTGGATATTGTTGTAAATTAAATTCAGATTGTTTAGAGTCTTCTACTACATCACAATAATATTGATAAACAGATTCAGTACAAGATGAATCAGGTTGAGGTTCTTCATGATATTTATTTTGCTTGAATATACCAGATGGTGAACGACGATTAACAGATACAGATTGTCTTGGTTTCATATGTGATATACCTTGATAAAAAGAGAATACGAGTTTTGATTTTATTTTACTTAAAAAAAACTAACGAGATTGTGTTATTAGATTCGGTTCTGTATGAGAAATATTTGTTGGATGGTTCATTAAACATGAACTTGTACAACGACGATTATGCCAATATTTGGTTTGACCCTGAATAAGAATTAAAAAAGAAAAGAAAGTAGAACAAAATTGAATAATAATACTTTCAAAATGTCGGTTTGGATCAACTGAAATGTTTGGTGAATGAATTTTTCTATAAAAATGTTTTCGAAAAAAAGATGTCGAGTTATTTATAATAAACAATGAACTTTGTATTTTTTGGTTTTGGTTGTTCAGCTTCAATTATACTTTCGTAATCGAATTCTTTTCCAGATGAATTTGAAAGTTCCTCAAGTAAAGTTTGCTCACGTAAATGTGACTAAAAATAAAAATTTTATTTATTTGTATTAATTATTTTTCTTACACATTTAAAACGTTGATTGAGTAAAATTAAACTTGTACTTGTATTTATTGTATCATAAAATCCTGACATTGGACTTGAATATGGTCGATCATTTTGTGGTGAAATGCACGCTCTAAAAATTATTTATTTTTTAATAGATAATACAATTTGCATTTATCATTTACCGTGAAAACAATTTTAAGTATTCTTCACGTGTTTTTCCTATTCCAACTACGGCAGATGTTTCACTAAATTTGTCCCATTGATAAGGCCTTGTTTCTGTAGACATGTACTTCTGTTTGTTTCAGTTCTTACGTCGATGAAGTGCACAATAATAATATTATTATTCTTTCTATTCATTTCAATCTTTCTCTTTTTTTTTTTTAATCAATACTCTTTTTCTTTGTCTCTTTCTCCCTCATTTCTATTTTCTTTTTATGTAAAGTAAAGTAGAAAGAATTATTTATAGATGGAATTTTTTTATTGATTTACAAGTTGAAGAAAGAATGGAAGAATTGAATGTGATGAGCTATGTTAGAATACTCGAAAAGAAATATTATAGCATCGATAGATGCATTAAGGTGGTTCGTCGTCATGGGATAATGTCGGCATTGGCAGAAAATATTTGATACATAATCAAGAGAAAAGAAAGAAAAAGACATTTACATTATTTCTCTTTGTATTTACTGAAATTGTTATTTGCTTTGGTTGAAGCCATCATAATTATTTTTTTCATCATGAAAGTAATTTAAAAAGTTTTATCAAACTAAGAACAAAGGTCATCTCTCTCTAAAAGTAGATTGTTTCCGTTTTGTTTAAAGTTTACGCATTTTTAGAAATAAGGAAAGTTGCTTGACTACAGCAATATTCGATTGTTTTTGTAAACAATGATTGGAAAGAGATGATATATAAGTTAAACAAATAATGTCTTTATCATCTCTATGAGATCATAATATTTTACCAAATTATCGTTTTCTTTTTATCTATATTGAATTAGTAAATCTATTCTCACTTTTTCTTGGTCAACATCTAGAGTGCACTGAATAAAACTACCATTCATTTGTAAGCAGTTTCATTGTTAATGTTCGAATCATTTATAAATGTTTGACTAAAGTAACTTTCATTACAGTTCGATAGGGATAAATGAAAATTCATGTTTAGATTTTTGTCAATGATACATCCGTTATAACGCTTTAATTTGTTGCGAAAGCATTCCAAAGGAAAGAGAACGAGACTACCGTCCTTTCACACGACTCAAAATAAGATGCAGAAGCTTTTATATAGAAAAGTTCTTTTTAAGTACATTTCACTGATATGTATATGCAAGGTATTAAGAAATTAATGTTATTCTGTGGGAAAAAGACTTGTAAAAATATTTTTTTAATGCAATATTTGTATTCTGGCTGTGTTTCTCAGGAAATGACCGACGACACATTTGTTCTTCACTCAAAATAATCTTATAACTAAATGTGTTTTTAATACAATTTTGCCTTAGAAAATTTAACGAAATTATTTAAAATGAGATAATCATTCATGATTGGTATTATTTAGAAAAAGACAAATATTTAAATCTAATTTAAATTTTATGATAAATAAAAAGTCAGAGTAAGTTAACAAGCAACTGCTTGAAAGAGTTCATTTTAAAGAATCCAATAAATCAATCATAAAATAACTAGTTTTTTTTCTATTAGTAGAGTCCATCGGGTTGATCTCGGACTCAGTAGAGCAGAAAAATTTTTGATTAGAAGCGCTTTATCTACCAGTCATATGGACATATATTTCAATTCATTCATAGCTGATACAGTAACATGAGTAATCATTTTCTAATATATCAATATATTTGCATCATTATTCCAAGAACAGCAATCCTTATAGGGTTGTATATAATTGTTCAGTATTTTATAATGAATGATCAGTATGTTTTTTTATTACACACTCACAAGGAGGTTTAGATAAGACCAGCAGAAAACCCTAAAAGAATTGATGCCCATGAACCTTTGGGGCTGAATTATGACCGTTTTACTGAATTTTCGATATACCTTTAAGTATTGACTGAAAAATCAAATGATCGATTTTCGGCCAAAAATTTTGCCCATAGAAAGACCTGATGACTCTGAAAATATCCTAAAAGTTTCAGCGGAAAAGAATGTTCCTTTGTCGAGATATTGAACTTTCAACAAATGGTTGTTCGCCACAAAAATCCAGTTTACTTGAAAATTTTATATCTCGAGAAAGGAACATTCTTTTTGGCTAAAACTTTCAAGATATTCTATTATTCATTCGACCTGTTTATGGGCGAAATTTCCGATCAAATTTCTGTTATTTCCTGTTTCCGTAAATACCTAAATCTGGATTGAAAATTCAGTAAAACATTCATAACTAGACTTCAAACGTCCATAAGCACGAACTCTTTCAGGATTTGTGTAGCCTCACCGACATCTTCTTGTGAACCCAATATGAGCACAAATGACGGGTACATCAGTTCGGGTAGATTTCTCGTTAGTAGTTTTTGCTCAGTAAAAATTTTAACTGTAGCATAGTAAATGGTTTGCAAAGTTTATTAGTTAAGTTAAAAAGACTCGGAATTTAAGGGTGTGGATATTAGCCTTCTTGACAGTACTACCTGTGCGCTATATTCAATCCCGTATCCATAAATTGTTAATTTACTCAAAAAGGATAATAGTTACTAAACAGTAAATGTTATACTGATAATTTGTGTGTAATATTACGCATTGAATTTGTTTCCATTTCTATAAGATTTACTTTTGTTTGACAAGAACTATTTATTCATTTAAAGTTTCGATCAATTATGATCAAACTTCATGTATATACATACAGTCATACGTACAATAAAAACAAAAAGATTTTACCTGGTACAACTAAGACAAAAAAAAGACCCAAAATACATACGGATATTAATTTTATACTGCTGTACACATTTGATGACTATTTAAACCAACGACTATTGATGATTTGGAATGCGGCATTGTTGGTCGAGGTGGTGGCAATGGTGGTGGAATTTCAAATGATTCAGGTGAACGTTTTCGTCGAGGTAAAGGATCTGTATATCCATTTGAATCAGCTTCACTAACAAAACTGTATGGACGAATATTTGACATTGAAATTGATTGCGGAGGTAAACTACCAACTGATGTTGTTAACATTTTACGTGTTCTTCCATGTTTTGTTATTGTTGATTTTTTAGGTAAAAGAGGTAAGTGATGTTGTTGTTTTTTTGCATTTAAACGAGTTGCTTTTTGACGTTTTTTCTCTTCAATTATTATAACACAAACACGATAAAGTTGTAAAAGAACAACAAGAAAATTTTTTGTTGTAAAAAATATATTTGATTGTGAAATAATTTTATAATGAATTATTAAACCAAGGCGAAGACAAAGAAATGGACCATCTTGTAAAAGAATTGTTGTTGAAAGAGCCTAGATTAATAAATGGTATTTAATATAAAACAAAACAGAACAAGAAAAAAGCAAATTTTCACCCATAGTTCAGTTTCCCAAAATAATCGCCAATTAAAACATTTTTCAAGTTCTCTTGGATCTGTTTGTTTAAAACCACCACCACGAGTTTTACGTGATTTTGTTGATGTAACAACAAGTGTAAATTGCATTAAACTTATTGACCAAGCTACTAATATAAGATGAACAATTGTTAAATTACGCTGAACACCAGGTTCTTTGAATGCTTCAAATAATTCAATAATATCCGCTATTGAAAATAAATAAAAACTAACAGAAAATGATAAGGCAAATCAAGCTTACCTGCTGTTCCAATATAAACAAGTAATAATTGAGAAAGTTGATCTCGTGTCATTGTTTTTCCAACAGGCAATAGCCAACGTCCAATAATAAGAACAAGAAGAAGAGTTTGTTCAACAATTTGTGTCCACATTTCAGCTGGAATTTTCCATGGAACAAGCTATTAAGAATAAATATTAAAAAAAAATTTTTTTCTTCAAAGTAAAACTATTAAATCATTCTTTATTACTGGTAATGTATCTTCACTATCAAGATTAATATTTCCTTGTGCTACTGGAATTAATCCAAGTGCTTGTGTAACATTAAAATTTGATCGTCGTTCAGCTAGATCAAGTTCAAGAAACCATACACTTGGTATAACTGTACATAAATAAAAGAATACAGACGGACAAAACCTAAACAATTATTTTCATGCAATGATTATACATATATGTATATACACGAAGTGTAACAATAGCTTGGCAACGTTTTCTCTTGTAGAAAGATTCGAACTGAGAAATAATAGATTATTCTAAGCTTCCTATCAAAACATGTAACATTGGATTCTCTGCCAAAATTCAATGGATCTTAATTTACAGATATATGCAACGTTTGTACCTTAACAGTAGCTATGATTCATTTTTAGACGGTTGCATTTTAATCATACAAGGTATTGAACTATTGTTGGAAGTTTTTAAAAAAGAATGTATATCCACCGCTGAAAAGTTACGAGAAGAAATTTAAGCGTTGACAAATTCATTTTTTCTGAGACACTGTTTGCTTTATTATTCCCGATCATACACATTTGTTAAGCTTTTTAAATTAAATCGTAATCAATTTTGATTAAGCCCTCCTTCTTTGTCAAAAATCTATTTTTGTCCCATAGTCATCGGTCCAGCTGAAAACCTCAGGGTATATTGATTCGGACCTACGCAACCTACAGTAAAAATTTCAGCCTGAACTATAGATATTTTCAACAGTTATCCGTAATTTAAGTGCCAAGATCTAGGTCTCCATGTGTTTCAGATTTTCCCTGAAGTCTAATGATGCAAATCTCAGGTTGACGTCAAAATGTAACCAACACTTGTCGCTACAAATGAATAGCGCACAGTTTTTCCAAATTCTTCTTTATCAATTTTTAGCCTCAGTGTTTTTTTGAGAGGCTCGAGAAAATAGGAATATTCCTGTGAAAAAAGATCCAACGTTCTCAAGAACTATGTCAAATATAAAAAAACTCGGCTTTGCTAAGTTGTAGAGCACAGCTTCCTCTTCAAGGTAAAGCCTTTCTGGTCTTTTTAGCACTTAAAATCGCTGAAAAATCAGGGACACACATGTAGGAAAGAACTCTTTATTATGAAAAACAGCAGACAAAATTTGCAATCGAAATTCAGTGGTTCTCTTTAGTAAAATAGTACAGGAAACACATCAATCATAGTCTGTCATGTGTTATCGACTACGACAAATCAACGGAGAATTGTGCGTACTTGTACAGCGTCTAAAATTCTGAATCTAAAAGAGAAAAACCACATGAAGCCTGGATATGTGGGTATGAGTATGTATGTCGTCTATTCACAACCAGCCTTACCCATGTGTACTCACACTCTTTTCAATAAAACATCCTAAAAAATATTGTTGATGATTAGATGGGTTCCATTCACATGGATTTTTATCAATAGTTGTTTTATCTCTTTATTTACAATCCAAATAATGCGTGGTAAAAGAATTCGGATGAAAGAAGAATTCGAATTTTGTAAAGAATAGTCGATTTTCGGTTTTAGTAGCTCACATAAGTTATTGTTCCGCTATAAATATAGACTCTGATCAGGCTCTAATAGATCCTGCTGAACGAATATTTAGTGGAGACTAGAATTACGAATATTAAGTTTCATCCGTGTTCCTTCATAGCTTGCAAAGAGTTTTGTAAAAACAATGCAAAACATGTAGAAAGTGGATCCATGCACTGAATCACGGAACAAAGCCTATAAAAAGTGTCTTTTATGTTGTTTTAAATTAAGATCGATAGCATTTCTTAAACAAACATGTGCTGCATCTTCTGACAGAAAGCTTAGGATAATCTATGCTTTATCAGTTCAAATATTTCTACAAGAGAAAACGTTGCAAAACTTTTGTTACACTTGGTGTATATATATATGTGTGACATTTGATTACCATTTCCATTCATGGCCATTATTTACATAAAGTGTAACGAAAAATTCTATTGGTATGCCAAAAAGTCTACAATGAGAAAAATAAATTAAGTCTATATATGAATCAATTCGTTTTTTTTTTTACGTTATGGCTTGAAACCAATATTTGTTTTGCTTATAGACTAAAGCTACTCGCCAAATAGCTGCGATACCATGTATAGCAAATATAATTCGAGCGGCTGCTGCAGCCGTCACAGCAAGAAATTCAGACATAAACCACTAATTAAAAAATAGGAAACATTTTTAAAGTTGTTTTATAAGCTGACAATAATCTAACAGAGAAAAATCTTTTTTTGTTTTAATGCATGTAATTTTTAATGCAAAAAGAATCGTTTTTCTTTCAAAATTTTTCATTTCATTTCATTTGTATTTAGGGTATACTAAAAGTAATGACAGAGGTACTTTAGTTCCTTATGAAAAGCTTAAAGAAACATTCTCCCTATATCTACTGATAGCAAACACGACGCTCTATTTTCCTGCGCTTTTATATCATCCTTCAAATAATATTATAAAAATAAAATTTCAATAAGACCTGTTTGGTTATCATGTGTGACGGTTGCATTAGTTCATATTGTCTTCAATATGTGTTCTCTTCTTGATATGCTCTTTGTTCTTCTCGTCTCTTATCTTTATTCGTTTTTTTTTTCGCCTTTTTTAATGCCTAACTGTCTACACACAGATATATAAAGACGTATTTCTTGCTTGTGCGTTTTGTATTTGTAGTCTATCACCGTGCTCTGAAGAGAATTAAAAAAATAAATTTAGGTTACACCTTGAGGCTCCTCAACTCTGTTTTAGATGAATAAGGAAAATTTTCGCTTTTATATTAATGTGCGCACTACACTTGATATTCAAGCAAGAGTTATTCATGATGAATTATGTACTGTTTGTGGCTATGAAGCTTCTTCTATTAGGATAATTGTAAGATGGTCTAAATGGTTTCGCGAAAGTCAATAAGAGGTTGAAGACTTAGCATGAGCTAGTTGTTTCTGTATTTCATTGTTGTTTCGTCGCCACTACTTTTTGTACACTTCTAATATATATATATATAGACAGCTCCGCATTAGAGTAGACAAGAAAGAGAGAAGAAGAACAAAGGAGAAAATCAATAAGTGAATGCGTATCTGACAACAATATAAACTAATGTAATTGTCACACGTGATAGACAAAGCGGTCTTATTGAAATTTTACTATTATGATATTAGTTGAAGAATGATGCAGTAACATAGAAAAATAGTGTCGTTTTGGCTATCAGTTGATATAGAGAGAAAGTTTCTTTAGACTTTCTAGAAACCATTAAAGTCCACCTACCACAACATTTGATATGATCTCAGCAAAAATTGACATACTCAGATTTACTATGAAATACTGAGTCTATGACACTAACTTTAATATAAGTCTTTTACGAGAAATCTGAATACATCGATTTCATAATACCATTCGTATAAATGATTAATTTAAATCCAAAAAGAAGTATCATCTTTACAGTATGAATAACGTCATTTTGGGATAAATGCATCATTGAAATAGAATTTTTCGGTATATGTTGAAAGACAAAATTAATAAGTATCAAAATAATATCCAAGAAGAATGGATCATTAAATTGAATTTAGACATGTTCATCATCAAGAGTATTACTTACAGTAACATTCTTAATTCTTGAGTAGTATCTTGATTTTTTAGCCATAATACCATTCGAAAAAAAAACCAAACTTAAATTATTAAATTTTTCTGTTCAAGTATACATAATGACGTACAAGTTTAGAGTAGCTGCATTTTTAAGTTTTCTTCTCGATAGTAATAGCTAGCAAGAATCTGACAAAACATTTGTGTACTTGAATGGATTCTCTATCAGAACTGATTGGCCCGAGTACTTCAGCAAAACTCCGTCCATAATGTACAGTGATAAATCAAAACCTCCAAAGCTAGCTTTCAGATTTCCATTGGAAGCGTTTTGACAAAAGATTTTATTTGATAGAACAAGATGACATGTGTCCGATCTTTCCATGACCTTCCTTCATCAAACTGCATTCAATTTCTAGAAAGCTCTAAAACGTCAAACATGACAAAAACATTGAAATTTTCAATGAAAAGAAAAGAAAAACACTTCTTAGGTTCTCTGTAAATTCGATGTAGTTCGATGAAGAAAGATCGGAAATATTACATCTTGCTCAACAGTATTTGCTGTATTAAATAAAATCTTTTTCCAAAAGTTTCAAAATGGAAACTAGAAAGCCTGCTCTGGAGATCTTGGTATTTCACAGATCCTCATGCAAATAGTCTTGCTGAAGTCTTCGGAACTATCAATCCTAATAGAAAATTCTTTCGGCTACATAAATGTTTTTTCAAAGTCTTACTAGCTATGACGATCGAGGAGAAAACTTGACAATGCAATTGTTCTAAACTTATATTTGCCACAATAGAACATTGATATTAATAATGAAATATCCATATAGATCAGGTCCTATGACTGATCTTATTAACGTCTGTTGTTTTTGATTATAATGATGACAAACTCTAAACATGTGTGTAGAAGCTATCATGTTGAAAATCATCTCACTATATGCATGAATGTATTGTTTCTTTTGTTTTTTCTACTTCTCATTCTCATAATACAATATCCGACAAAGAAAATGATTATAATTATATAATAGAGACAAGAGCTTTACTTACTTTAACACGTGTTGTTATTGATTTATCTTTTAGATTTTGTCGTACATTAATTCGAGTACTATCTAATTTTCCTCGGTCAGTTGCATTTTCATGTAAAACATATTTTCGTCGTGTCATTTTATATCTTTGGATTCGATCATTAATTCACAGACTGTATCTATTGCTTATTGTTATATGCCTATTAGCATGTCAACAGTTAGCTGATTTCAGTCGAGCATACTTAGATCGCACAATGTTGTTCTAACAACGAGTGTCGAGAAGTATACTCTTTCTTTTTTTTTTCTTGTGCTCTTTTTATCGTTTGTATGCTTTCTATAATATCGGATCGGTTATAAATAGGAAGAACACACTTTGTTGAATGACGGCACCCCACAATTATAATCGACTATTCTTATCGGCCTATTCTAATGATATGATTAACGTCCTATGATCTCGGAAATAAGAAAAAAAATATTAGGCAACAATTCTTTTTTCTTTTTTTTATTTATTTTTATAAAAGATTGTTGAATACATTGTCATATGTGTTCTATGAGCAGATGGTGAACGAATAAATTATTGATGATTTAATATTGCTTTTTATTATGAAATGCGACTTAATCGATAAACTGAATAGATATTGTAAAAGAATGTTTCTCGACAAAATTGCATAAGTTAGAAGGTTTGATGTCAATTAACAATGGTGTTGGTTATGTATTCTTCTCGCTTATAGTTTTTGATCTTTTTTTACTTTTTTTCCGTCGTCGCACAATGAAATAGCACTAAGTAGTAAATGATGAAAGAAAGAGAATAAGAAGTAGATTGCATGTACACATTCATTGACATAACTAAGATAGAAAACAGCATATAATCTTTTGCCATTCTTCGTATCTTTATATTGGATACAAAGAGTGAGTGTGAATGATCAGATATATGGAAAACATCATCTTACAACAAAAATTAATGATTTATTTAATTCATTTAATAGATATGAGAACAATTAATAACTTGTTGGTGAATATCAGTTATTTGATTATATAAATATTGAATTGTTTATATAAATTTTCTTATTAAATTTCTATAATTTTCTACTATTATCAACCAAGATTTTAATTTATTGATTTTAGAATAAGTTTCTTGAAAACATCGATACGCAAACATCAGATTCAACACCAATGTTTGTAATATTTTCTTTTTCTGTGAAACACAATCTAAAAGAACTGTTAAAGTATTATATAGGGTAGAAATTTACATTTCGGTCCTCACAGGCCATGACAAATATTACCATGAAATGTCACTGTCTGTGACAGAGATTACCATGAAAACGTCACAGACCATGAAAACATATTAGAAACACTTCACCACAGATGTGACAGACATCTTAGTAACGACACACTCCAGACGTGATAGGTATCTTACGAGGCGAGTTCTCCAGCTGTTCAATCGTGTTTGAGTTGACACTATGTGCATTATGTAGGCCCAAATGTGTTAAAAATATCCTGAAAAGAATTCTTGCCCTTAGTTTATTGCTACAGAAATACTGCACTTTAATGGTACTTTTTGAATGAATGCTGTAGCTCCCTTCAGGAATAAAAGAAAAATTGGTTTTCGATTTTTAACTTGAACTTTGGATAGAGACGAGCTTTAATAAGTAGTTTTTTTTATGAAAATTTCAATTCTTATTGCTGTTCCTATTTTAAGATAGAACTATGATAATAGAGTGTCCTTTACATCACACACATAAAACAGTCGATTTGATGTTCGTATTTAAGGATTAAAGCAAATCAAAACAACTGAAACTTTGAGTGGAAAACTACTCTTGTTAAATCATGCCTCTATATAAAGTTTTAAGTCGAAATTCGAAAATCATTTTTTCTAGTGTTCCTAATTGGATTATGACATTTATTGAAAAAATAGCATGAAAGTGTAATATTCCCTTAGCAATAAGCTAAGAACAAGAACTCTTTTTAAAGTATTCATAGTTCATTTGGATCTATGTAATGCACATAGTCTCCATTCAAAATCGATTGAGCAGTTAGAGGGCTTTTCTCGCTAATCATAGTCCCTCTCTTCATGCCACAGACTGTGACAGACGTTGTTGATATACGACCAAAGACAATACGTGAATAGCTTCTCGTTATAATATGGGAATTCCTTTCTTATTGCATTTCTGCAGAATTAAGTAAAATGATGGTGAAGAAATATGTCCCAAAATAGATGGAATAAAACAATCTTCTAATCAGTAGCAAAAGCAGTATATCGTCTTTTATTTTTTATTCCTGCAGTGATTGAGCTAACAGCTTTTCGTTAAGATTTCAGTTTGTTTCTTCTAAATTTAAGGTAAAAAAAACGATATAATCAATCGATCAAATCATCAATATTTATGTCAGATGAAACTTTCATCATGTTTATCTTCAATACAGAACGATACTTGAAGAAAATAGAACTTGATCTACCTTCAAGATAATATATAAATGTGAAGCCAGATAGCAAACTTGAGCATTCATTTAATTATAAAATTACAAAAAAAAAGAAAATTATTTATTCTAGCTCTTACTCATTCATCAGCAATTGACAAAAGTCATTGAAAGACTGTTGATCATCATTTCATTCTTCTCGAGTTTATTGATGACGTTGCTCTCAAATATATCATTGCTTGGCCTTCATCTTCAAACGAATTGCCCAAATGCTCAAAATTTGCTATTAATTAGATACCTCTTTTTCGATTGCGAGGGCTACAAAGATTTATTTTATGGGATTTATCTGGATTTATTCACTGAAGGCATACAATGCATTTTAACGGTACTAGAAAAGATTCAGAGTCCAGAAGAGTTAGTTCACACCCTTTGTTGATATGTCTTTCTGAATGTCGTTCTTCTCCTTACCTTCAACTCGGTACTTGTATTAAATCTAAGCGCTTCCGTTTTATGATAAAGTACAGAGCAGGATTTTATCGAAAATTCCCGGGAGCTGCTGGAAATTTTCTTGTTCCGAACAAAATATTTTAATTTGAGTTTGTAGTTAAGAAAAAAGAGGTCACCTTGGTGAAATTTGTTTTTTGAAAATCTATTCCCGAAAAAAGTTACCACTGAAAAGTTATGGTAACACATTCAGCGACTTGTTTAGACTCACTAAAAAAGGCATAGTTTTTACTGCTTTGATAATCAAAACAAGCGGATCCACAAATATCAAACTACAGCTCAACCTTTGAAGATGCTACAATTATTTCCATTTTTTAAAATGAGATAGTAGTGTTCGAGATGTGATAAAAGTCAACAATACCCTTATTTTCACCATTATTCAAAACCAATGATATCTATCTGTGTAGAATATATGAAAGCCTAAATAAAAAAAAAAAAACTTCAAACAAATACGTTCGAAAAATCTTCTGGTCAATCTTGGTCAACTATAGTCCTTTTTAGCTGGACACAATGTATCAGTTCCGAAAATATTATTTATCAACGCTTAATCTTACTAGATGAATTAATTTATTTTCTAATGGCACTTATTGTTGAACTTTTTTTATCGATCTAATGAATATACATTTGCTTCAGTTGTCCATTGCAGGCATCAAATCATTTAGTTCTTCTAGAATTAACCTACAGTTTGACGATCAGAGCACATCTTTTTCATAGTCAGACAATTATAAAAGCAATTATCTACAATTATTAATCTACATCATCTTCAAATCTTATACAACGTGTATATGTAGGATTGTTTTTGCGATGAAAAACCTTCATTAACATTGTTTATCAAGTTGTATCGAATTTCTGTCTCGATGGAGGCAACATATGATAGAAAAAAACATGCTAATCTCTATGTAACATTTTTTTTTAAAGTTCTGTGATATTACGTCATAGAATATCTATACAAAAACTTTTTCAGCAAGAGTTTTTCATATACTAATGATGACATATAACAATATTTGATGCAACGTGATATGATACAATAGTAGCATTTTTTGACAGCAGTGTTGATCATTTTGATTAATGATATTTGTCATTTGTTGACTAATTCATACATAGAGTTAATGGACTATGATATGTAAAAGAAGGTTCTAGAGGTAACATTAGCTATTTCTTTGATAGTACAAATAATGATCGATTTTTCTTATCATATATATATATATATATACAAATGTCTTTTATTCATGTAAACTCAAGTCTTTTAACCGATAAATATATAATTAATATTTACAAGTAGATACTTCCTTCATCATTCTCGTCTTCTAATGTCTGACGACATTGACAGTAGAAATTTCTTTGTTTTGACAACTACGACTGTTTTTCTCTAGTAACCAACAACAGAATAAAAAAACGAAGGAATGAGATCATTACGATTGAAAGCAAAAAAATATATTATTAGAAAAAGAATTATGAATTGATTCTGTATAATAGATGAAATTTAAAATAGGTTTCATTAAGTCATAGTTTTGCTCCAATTGATTGGATCATCAGCTAGTATTGTTCGTTCAACATGCCATTGATGCATACGATTCCATTGATCATATTCCCATTTATTTTCCATTAACTAGAAAAATAAATAATATTGTATATGTATGTGTGTGCAATCTTTACGATTACTTCTTTATTTCTCGTAGTAACTTTAAATAATAATTGAGCTCGTTTATTATGTTTTTGTTTATCGTCTTCTAAATCTTGTTGATCTCGTTGAATAAGATTTTGACATTCAAGACTTTTAATTAAGTGTTCATTTTTGTCTGCTTGAATTTTTTCTTCCATTTGTTCTTTAAGCGTCGATCGAATGTGTTTACTTAATATAAGTTTAAAAAAAAAAATTAAAATAAATAGAAAATAAAATATTAATATTAAGAAAACATACTTATACATTTCACGTTCTATTATTTTTGAATAAGGATAAATTGTATATTGTATATGTTCTTTATTCCATTGTCGTTGTTGCATAGCTCGTACTCGTTTATAATTATGATAATGTCTATCTTCCGTTTCAAACATTGTTGTCATTTTAAATGGTTCATCAGGTCGACTAGCTATAATTCGTTGTGGTGCCATATAAAAATCATATTGATGACGTATATCTTCACGTTGTAATGGTTCCCATAAAAAATCATAATCGGGAAGTTCACGTGTTAATGGTTTCCAAATAGCATTATGTGCACGAATGCCAGCTGTTTTTTCATGCGGTAATTGTTTTAATGTTTCATCTAATCGACGAGAAATTTTTATTTTTGGTGTACGTGTATGTGCCGGTGGAATTGAACTTCGTGTTGATGATGTTGTTGTTGATAATTTATTCGAAGTCTCAGATGAATTAGGCGATTGCTTACGTGGAGAATTATTTGGATCAGTTATACGTGGTAATGATTGTGTTCTTAAGAATCGAGGTGATTCAACTGAACTAATAGGTGTTGCTTTTATGTCAAGAAATGGTAAAACTGTCATTGTTTTTCTTTACTGTTCAGAATTCATCTCAATTCACTTTAAGATGTTTTTTCCTGACAACATAGTGAATGTATGAGATGTATGGCAATATAATATTAAAAGTCATCGAAAAACATTATTAGTATATTTTCTTTTTTTTTTCATTTTTTTTTCTTCAATTTTTTTCATATTATACTTTTAAGAGTAACAACAGTCAGAAAAGAAAAGTATTTTGTTTGTTGTACAAACAAATGTTGTTCTCGTCGTTGTGGGTCGTTTAAGAAACCAGAGAAAAAAAGCGAGAAATAAAAGGTTTCTCTTAAATGTTGATGGAAATGTTCGAGCACAAAAATGTTTGCATAATAGGAGAAAAAAATGTAATTGTTACTTTCTTTTTACAAATAATAAAAAGAGTATTAGGTGCCAAGATAATTTTTTTTTTATTTTGATAATTATTGAACGATTAAAAAAGAGGTTTACACGCGATTTTTTTAAAGAACTGTTAGTTAAAAAAAAAGAAAGAAAAAAGTCACTGTCGATGGAGAAAAAGAACAGTTGATGTTGATGATGTTTGCATTTATTTAACCTGTCATCAACTTGTAAAATTCTATTTAAAAGAAAAAATAAATTATATTAAAATCAAAATAAATATTGATTACTAACCTTCATAATCAACAGTGCCTGAACCATCTTCATCGACTTCTGAAATGATTTGTTCAACTTCATCGTCTGGCATGTCAGGATCAAGGGCCTTAAAGATCATTTTTAAATCTGCTACCTAAAAGTTCAAAAAGAAACACAAAATTAAAATAAATTCAATATTAATTAAATTTTCATTCTCTTACATCTATAACACCACGGCTACTTTTATCGAATACACGGAATACTTCACGTAATTCTCTTTCATCTTCAGCCTCTTTTGTTTTCTTTGCCACCAAGGCAAGAAACTCATCCTAACAGAAAAAAAAATAAACAAGAGCAACATCAAATCATTCGTTCTTCCTTATACGTATACATACAAAGTCAACAGTACCACTACCTATAAATAGGAACAACAGCAATCTATTATTGTATATCAAAAGAAGTCTTTCATTAACATACCATCACCATCAACTGCATCAATACATTCGGCCAATTGATCAGGTTTTAAATTATGTCCAAGATTTTTCATGACTGTACCGAGAAGTGATGTTGATATTTCACCTTTTCCGTCTTTATCATACATAGTAAAAGCATCTCGAATTTCTGATACTTGTTCATCACTCAATTGAAATTCTTGTTCTTCTTCAGCCTAAAATAAATCTTTCGAAATTATTATTTTATTCTTAAAAAAAAATAACTATCTATACTCACCATGATAATATGTACGTTATTTAGTTGTAGAGAAAAAACGTATTACTTGGCAAATATCTACTGTTGCTTCCTGATGTACAAACTCTACAAACAGAGCAAAAAAAGAAAAAAGAAAAAGAAAGATAGACGGCACTACGTCGTTTGTTTCCTATAAATAATAAGTCGAGAAAATTCCCTGTACATATATGCTCCTTAATACCAAATGTGCACGTCGAGCAAGCACAGAGAGCTAACTGTACAATTATCGAGAAAGGAGGAGAAAAAAAGAAAACTCTCGTATGTTGTCGAAAAAAACAAGAGAAATATTTCTGCGCACATCATGTTAGGGTACATATATACAAAAGCGGATATCAAAGAGAAAGAAATAAACCACTCGTATCTTATTGAGGTTGTACTAACCAAAGAACAAACGACTAACTTTTCTTCTCTTATAGATACAAGACATAAAGAATAAGAGACTATAGGATATGCATATATCATATGATGGGATGGTGGTATACTGGCGGATTGATAACGATGACAAAAATAGAATGCTAGGAAAGACAATTCTTCGAATTTTTTCTATAAACGGATTTCTTTTTTTTGCTATCACTAATATCTAGAATAAAAGATAAATTTTTTTTTTGAATATAAAATGCGTCAAACATATTGTTTAGAACAGTAGTATCATTTTCAATAAACAAGAAATAACAACATCAACAAGTGTCATATCATATCAAACCTTGTTTCTCTGTAGTTTGCTCCTCATATTTCTTATATTCTTATTTTATAAGTAATTAAACTATTTTTAAAATACTTCAAATATACTACTATATTATCGTTTGCACTTGTTATATATATATTGAATAGAATCATGATGATAATAAGCAAGCAATATGTCCTTCCGGTCTCTTTTCTTTTATAAGCAACGTAATAGAACAACTGTCTCCCGTAGAGTATAAAGAATTATATATATGCATACATACAAGGAAAAAGAATTGTTGTGTTATGTCCTTTGCCTGTAAAAATGACGATAGAAGACTTATGTTCGCTTTTCTATAAGTTCCAATAGTCGTTGGATGACGCGCGGACGCGCATGTCTTCAACCAATCGTGCTCTTTGTGCTTATGGTATTTGCTCGTACAGCAATTGAGAAACGCACTAGCACATCTCAAGTAATAGATAGATAGAGAGACACAAAAAAAAACATACATATAGCAAATACTAACAGCAACGAAATCAAGCATATACGTAGAAAAACCAACCAACACAAAAACACAAACAGTATCACACTAAGATTTTCAGAGAACAGCTGGCCTAGAAATAGTTTTTCTTCGCTTCTGCTTCATTGTCTCATCATCGATTGTGTGACAAATCTAATTTCTTGTTTGTCTCCTTTTTTTGTTTCTCATTTATACATTTATTCATGTTCGACACTGTTATTGTTAACTATTATTATCAATATTACTGATGACAATGCGAGCAAATTCTATTTCGATTGAACAAGAAAACCGTATGTATCATTGATATGTTTATATAAACATAATTTTTTTGTTTGAAATAGAACTTAAAGAAGCTTTTGCTTTATTTGATCGGATTGGTGGCGGTGTTATTCGCACAAAAGATCTGGCGTATGTTATTCATTCAATTGGTTATCAAACAACTCCTGCTGAATTAGAACAAATGATACGAGAAGTTGATCAAGATGGTTAGTTGAAAAACATTTAAAAATAAATTTTAGCTTTTTTTATTTCAATATTTAGGTAATGGTCTTATAGATTTTGATGAATTTAAATTAATGATGAGTCATAAAGGTGAAAGCAAATTAGAAATATTTAATGATGAACTTCTTAATGAAGCATTTCGTATCTTTGATAAGGATGGAAATGGTTTTATTAGTGAAATAGAACTTCGTTCTGTGATGAAGACTCTTGGTAATACAGAGTTTTTTTTTTATTTAAATTAAAAACAGAAACTTTTTTTGATTAATTTTTTCAGGCGAAAAATTAACTGATGACGAACTTAATGATATGATATGAGAAGCAGATTTAGATGGTAATCGTCAAGTAGATTATGCAGAATTTTCTGCACTGGTTCGTCGTCTTTTGCAAATACAAAATCTTTCAACAAATTTAAATTTAGCCAATAGCTCAGGAGCATATGAAGGTCGAGGAATAATTCCATATATAGATGATGATCTTGAAGAAGATTTGGATGATCAATTTGTTAATAATGATGGGATATAAAAGACCTTATATGCAATGTAAATGTCGGATTAATGAAAAACAAAACGCAACAATAAGCTCAGTATTTTTTATTTTTATTCTTTTCGTTTTTCATAAGATATACAAAAGAACCTTATGAGCCTAAAAAGTTATTTTTGATAATGAAATTTTTTTTTTTTTCTATTTATTAAATATTGAATAATATCTAAGCTTATTGTGCTCAGATATAATTTATTCATTAGTATTTAATATATATATATGTTTATAACTAACCAATCACGTTTTATTTATTTATAACAAAAAAAAATGAATCATTTTTTTTTAATACATAATATAATAAAAAAAATTAGAACGGTAATCTTTTTAAAAGTGTATCTATATCAATATCCATGGGTAAATCACCAAAAATTGAACCACGATTAGGTCCAAGACGTGATGAACAAAAAGCATCACTAACTGTTTGTGGTAAACGACGAACAAGTAAACCAGCTTGAAGACATAATGCTAATTGTGTAGCTAAAGTTCGTGCATGACGTTGGAGCATATCAGATGGAAGATCTTTTTTTAATAAATTTTTTTCAACATTCTCTAATGCTCTATCTAAATGTTTATTTGAACCTTTAGTTTCATGCATGAAGGATAAATATGCTTGAAGCGATTCAGGTGATCTTTTCATTGAACGTAAAATATCCAAACAAATAACATTTCCACTACCTTTCCTAAAATAGATATAGAATGATATGTAAGGTGGTCTGACTATTTGAAATTTGAGTAAAGTTTTTTTTTTTGCTATGGTTGAATAGAACTATTATCGGTGCTAGAATTCAAGGCACGCGAATGTTTTTTGAATAAATTTTCATAGGAATAAGATAGAGGCTTGTGATTTTCAATGCATGATAGTCAAGACTCAGAGGCATATTTTCATAATTAATTTTTTTTCTGAGAAAAAACTCGAAGATTAGTTTTTCAAGGGAGTTTTGAAAAACTGTCATAGGAGTCTATTGATTTTTTAAATCTAGGGAGATGTCACAGAGTGTCCCCAAGAAAACTGGATCTGTACAAATATTTAATCTTGCAAGATTTAAAAGTATGAANCCCCCCCCCCCCCCCCCCTCTTCCTATTTCAGTGGTCAGAAACATTTTAGAATCATTGGAATCAGCTGTTTTTCTTCTCTTGATTTGATCACTCTTGAATGATTGTTCTGACACTCTTACTTCTTATATTACTTGACAGAAAAAAATTTGTCTTTAATTCTATGCAATTAAATCGATAATCTAGAGTATGCAATAAAGGAGACTATAGCAGCAAGAAACATCAATATTCTCTGTATATTCGAAAAAAACACAAAATTCCGAGTCTAACTCAGTTTTTTCGAATATCTGCAGACGCTTTAAAAAAAGGCAGAAAAAAGAATGAACATTTGGTCTAATCACTTCTCGATGACCCGTTAATAACTCAAACCTACCACTGATATTGTAATTTTTCACTACTTTCACCTTCACACTTTACAATTAAACTATCATTTATTTTAACACTTTGACTTTCAGGAAATCGTCGCCAATAAATAGAACCTTTTATAATAGAATATTAAATAAAATAAAACAAGGAAAATTCTTTTCATACCACGTATAAAAAGTTGAAAGTCGTATTGTATTGTACCGAGTCGATTTTTTCCTATGCATCTATACTTACCAGCCATACGATCATCAACATTATGAAGAGTTAGTCTTCATAAAAAAAAAGAAAAACAATGTATACAAACAGATCTATCAAATTCAACATACTGTTGACTATTAACGAAGAGTAATTCTAAATCTGCATCTTTAATCGTTTGCTTATTTTTCTCAAGAATCTTATACCATGTTACTATTGGAATTGGAACTCCATAAATGTGACAAATGAAATTAACTGTTGAATAATATGAAGCTATTTGTAATGAATTTGATAGATTGATAAAACGTGGTTGTTCTAAAAATTTTATTTTGTTTTTAAAGAAACAATTTATTTAAAGAAAAAACATACCATTAACACGAAGCGTAATAAAATAGTTATATTTTATATCTAATAGACCACGATCAATTAATATCAATCGACATTCAAATGTATCATTATCATTTAATTGAACATTTTCAATAATTAATGAACCATTTGAAAGAAGACTATATTTATTACGATAGATATCATCAATATGTACAGGATAATTATCAAATTGACTAGCAATAGGTTTTGCATAATTATTTTTTGAACGATACCATTGAAGTATTGATGGAAGTGTCCATTGAGTTCGATCTATTGGACAAGGTATGAGAACATTGATATTACCGATTTCACTATCGATAATTGTTGATGATGATAGTACAGATACTATATTTACTATTGATATCGATCAAAAAATTATTTATATTATAAGAAAAAATTCTTTTTTTTCTACCTGAATAAATGGTTAAACAAATGTTGATGATTGATAGTAGAATCGACATGGAATAATAACATAATTTAATAAAATCAAAAAATTTAATTACATTTTGAAATCTAAAACCAAATTTTATTTGATTGATAAGTCATAATTACAAAGATAGTGGAATGCGTTATGTAAATATGAAATCTCATCTTACCATAAAGTTCAAAAAAGAAAAAAAAAAGGTAACTGAATGAATGAACGAACGAAACAGATGAGAAGTGTATCGAATACATAATAGGGTGAGAGAAGACATAAAATACGAAAAAAAAAACGATGTACAGGAGTGTTCTTGTTCAAATTGAAACAAGTTCTTTGATAAAACAGCAGACAGCTACTTGTATATTCATTCAATTCTATTCGATGACATCCATAAGTGTCTGTTCGACTTCTGTTTCTTTTTTTCTTTCTTCAACCAAAAAAAAAAAAAGAGTTATATTTTGCTCCAGGGATATGAACAATTTTTATATTATTCTTTCGTTTATACCCACTCATAGCTTCATATTGATATCAACAATAAATTGAACAGCTAGTCTAAGTTGTTCAAAGACACGTATTATCCATTTGAGAACAAATGAAGAATGACATTATAATATTTATTATATCAAAAGGTTATGATTGCCTGGATAAAAGAAGAACAAGATAATGACCTTGCTTTGTTGATGATTAACATCACATGAAGCTGAGTTCAACCAAGGAATAAACAAAAAAAAAAGCCAGTATAGGCAAGTCTCCCACATCGATCATCTATGTAGAATTACATATTATCACAATGATATTCACTTGCTCTAATGAGTTACTACTAGAGATCTGCACGAGACTTCAAAATCCGACTCCATTCTAGGCATTTATTCAAAGTATCTTCGATACAGAAAAATGTTCAAAAATTTAATCATATCTTACTTTTTCTGTCTAACATCTAACATAATTATTTGTTTGCTTACAATACCCTCAGATCAGATATGATTTGTCATATTACACTAATCTTAAATTACATATCTCTAAACATGTAAGCTATCACTAATTTACGTGAAGAACAATTTTCGAAGCCAGAATTTTAAAAGTTTCACTTGACAGATCTCCAGTGACTACTTACTTCTTCTATTATAGATAACAAAAAAATCAAATACTAATGCAGTTTATAATAGCTATAAACCTAGATAATGATAATATATGTGTTACATAGACATGTTAAATTGAAACTATGTTTGATGAAGCATACAGTTTATATACTTATGTAAGAAACAATAATAGTTCTATCAACTTGTCGATGAACTGACTGAAAAAGACAGATAGACAGACGAACTAATTACTTGTCATTAACTAAAGATATATGTAACTGACAAAAACAATATATACAAAGAAAAGATCACGTCACGCTCTATGAACAGATACATGCGAGACGATAAAAAATAAAAAAAAGATAGGAGTCGTTTTCTATATCTATATGTACATGAAATATTGATAAATATGCAATTGTCCATCGTTATTCATTACATACCCTAACTCTTGTTCGTTTGAACTCTTTATACTAGTATTTTATATATCACGTCTTTCGGATATAACTATCAGAACTATAAGCGCAATAAGACGAAATAATGGTCAACAGGTCAAAAAGCATTTGTTCATAATGATGATTGAAATAACACCCTTATTCTCGCTCTTTTCTTGTATATGCATGCAAATAATTCTACATGTTGATGTGATTACATAGTCACACAAACATCAGTCGGAAGGAAAAGGCTTGTAACAGCTCTGTTCAAACATCATACTAAATGAACGTCGGCTAACAACAACAAATATAAAAACAACATCAACAATTCTCTAATTTTATGTATGTATTGTACGTGTGGCATTAGATAAAGAAAATTGACCATCTAGCGTGAGCCGAGGTCAGCAACAGAAGATAACAACACATTCTTTTCTTTATGCCAATCAAGCGAGTTCCTGTAGTGATATGTCCTTCTCACTTTTTTGTCTTTTCTTTCTGATCTCTTTTCTTTTTTTTTTTTTTTTTGACATTATCTATCTATCTGATAGCTTTTCAACGAGTCATATAATGATGACCATTCACAACAAATAATCAAATATCACAAGTAACAATCAATTTTATGTCGGCTAATCATCTGTAGAGAATAAGAAAAATGAAATTTTTATCACCTTCTTTTGTTCATAGCAAACATTTTTAAAAAGAAGATTAAAATATAATGGCAAGAAAAAATAACAGCTACTCACTTGAATCAAATAGAAACACATCACACTTGTTTCTCCTTCGGTATCTTTTCTCCCTTGTTCTCTTTCTCCGTTTCTTTTATTATATTATGAACAGGAAATCACTCAAACAATGCCTATTCCTGTTCTATTCTGTTGGATGAAGAGAAGAGCCAATGTTCGCATATTGACCATGGTCCAGTATAGAACATGAAAAGGAACGCCATCTTCAAAATAAATTATGGAACGTCAGTTGAAATATAGGAAACCTACAATTACCGCTAAATTATTGAAAGCCTTTTTTTTCTTCGTTATTGCTTTTGTATTTTTACTCAGCAATTATTTTTTAATCTTGTTGATGAAATGTATTCATGTACGGTAAGTGTAGAGCCTGTCGGATCCAACAGTTTTGGATTCGAAATACACTTTGCGGACTCTAATTACGTGGCACACTTGATTAAAAGTGTTGTAATTAACAAGACTAGTGTACTTTATGAATATTTTCGTGCGTTTTTCTTTCTTTGCGTCGTGAAGAGTTTTGCATAATAAAAATTATTGTTACACTTAAATGGAATGTTTTTTTTTTAAATTTACAATAGAATAAGTAGTCGAAACTTGTAAACTAATGGATATGGTAGTGTCGCCAGGTGTATCACAGCGTTTCTCTTACAAATAATTAATTACTTCAGCTATCGGTCATATCGATTTTTTACAAATTTAATTTTATTAATCAAGAAAGGAAATCAATTTGAGTTTTGTTCTCCATTAGAAAATGATATTTTGAAACAAAATTCTAAGATTATTTTCAAGAGCTGCTTTCTTTTTTTTGTTGCAAAGGAAAAAAAATAAAATATAAAATAAAATATAGCTGATGTTTTTAGTCGTGATTCTTAATTATAACTTTAATCAATGAATATTTTATCGATTAATTTCAGCAAAGAAGTTCAGTTTATTCATATTTACATGAATATACAGGGTGTCCCAAAAGTCACACTACACTTAGTGCTATAGGACAGCACTAAGTGTAGTGTGACTTTTGGGACACCCTGTATATAAGAATTAGAATGAAAAAAAAAACGTTCTACTTATAATCTGAACTGTATTTATATTGCACTTAGTATATCTCGATTTTGTTCTAATTGTCTTTATTATATATATGCTACGATGAGCATAATAAAAAAAAGAAAGTTTTTTTTTTATACATATTCTTAATAGTTCGGTCTATATGAGTTATATGGATTTTGTTGGCGTTGTGAGTAATAGCCATCTGGTTGCCTTGGACGATAACCACCATCGGGTTGTCGTGGACGATAACCACCGTCGGGTTGTCGTGGGCGATAACCACCATCCCATTGTCGAGGACGATAACCACCATCCGATTGCCGCGGGCGATAACCACCATCCGGTTGTCGTGGACGAAAACCACTATTAGATTGCCGTGAAGAAAAATCTGCACCTGACTGCTCTTGAGAATAATATCTATCTGGTTGACGCTGAGCATAATATCCACCAGGCTGTTCTTGTTGTTGATAGGATTGTTGTGGACCAACTGCATGACGAATAAATCGTTGAGCCGTTGCAAAATCTCGTTGATATTGTGGTTGTTGTGCAAAACCGAGATTTGGTCGATAAGGTGTCATTTGATCATAATCTCGAGGTTTTAATGTTGTTGATGGCATTGAAACATTCTCTAATAATTTAGCTTTAAATATATAGTCATCATCAAATGATAAATCTCTATATTTAACACAAATAACTTGATTATTAATTATATCTTCGCAATTAGGTAATGGTGGTTTAATTAATTCTCCAATAGGTTTTATTTTATCATCATCATCAGGCCATATTTGTCCGGCCATTCCTCCACTTAACATTATTGGCATATCAAGTGGATTTTTTCTCGTAACTTCATTTTCACCTGGAACATATAATTTTTTAAAATAATCATAACATAAATTACTTGAATGAATATATAAACGATCATAATCACGTTTATTACGCATTTGTTCGTTCTTTGTTAATGTTGAATAAACATGTTCAAGTGTACGATATAAACGTTTTTCATCAACAAATGGTAATAAAGCAACACCTTGCCATTCATAACGTTTACCATTAAGATCAACACAAAAATTTAATGGATAAAAATCAATTATAGGAGATTCTTTTTCTGTCATTAATGATTGCCATTCAATAGGTAGAAATTTCCGAGATTGTGATGGAAATACAGCCATTAATTGTTCTAATGGTTTAAATGGTTTTGTTTGTTTATCAAAAGATACAGGTACATTTCTAACTTGTAGAAAATCAGATGCAAATGGTGCATAATGATAAGGAAAATACCTAAAACACACACATACAAAAGTAAATAAACGTTCAAATAAAAATGAATACTAAGTGACAGTTCATGAGGCGACTGAGCCTTAGGTAAAAATTGAAAGTTTTCGTTTTTTATATGCATTCGAAAGGCCATCATATAAAACTACACATTTCAAATTTTCAGTTTATTTAGATCTTCTATATAGTAACGTTAGTCTAGATTGAGTATTTAACACTACTTACTATTTAGAAAAAAATGATAAATTGTCTCATAAATATCTATTAGGATTAGAATTCAACAAATCAGAGAATTGTTTTCATTCCATATACCAAAATATAGAACATCATAGCAGTGTCACATATCCTGAAATTTGGAGAAGTGCTGAAATCTCTGCCGGGAGATACTGTATTTTCAGCGGAAGATGTAGCCTCCAGTGTGAGGGATGCACATCTCTCAATGAGATGATACATCTCCAACAGAAAATCACCGCATCCCTCGAGTGTGAATGCCGCGTCTCCCGCGGGAGATGCCGCATCTCCTGTGGGAGAAGTGAGCACTTCTCCAAAATTTTGGATATGTGACACCACTCTTTGGATTTGATGGTTTTAAATGATGACTTTTCGAATGCACATTAGAAAAACAGAACTAAAGTTTTGACTAGTGCCTCGATTTCTTAATTCTCTCATTAATAATCCTTCCCTAAATACATACCAATCCCATGCTGGTACACCTTGATAATAATATTGAAGAACCCAACATAAACCTCGTGCATAATTTTGTGCAACTTGTATACGAAAATCTTCCAAATCATTTTTACTAACATTAAATTTATTTTTATAATATCTTTCACGCCAACCTTCTTCCCATAATCGAACTGTATCATTTGGATCATTATCTTCTTCTTCATCGTTAACTGAATCTTGTTGATCACGTATGGGAGTATCAGGTGTTTCTTGTTCCATTTCATCAAAACCACGTTTTTTAGGTCGATTATTCGATGAAAAATCAACACGTTGCATCTGACGTAATTGCATATTAGCTTGAGCCGGATTACTAATTTGTGAATTAGGTCGTTGACTAATTGGTTGAGGTTCCAGTTGAGGTGCTGACATCCAAACAGGTAAAGCTACAGGTCTATAATAAAAAACATTTTAAAATAATTCAAGATAACTTTATGATCTTTGATTAAGTTGAATAGAGAACTAATATGTCATGCAGCGGTAATAGTTCGCAGTATGGTAGACTTGACTATACTTATTTTATCTTTATTTATACGATGATCAACATAGTATGTTGATTTATACGTTATAGTAAAAGAATACATTCATGTAATATTTCTAGATCATAAGAATTTTTATATAAAATATGGCAGTGAGAAATAAGGGTTATCCGGCAGATTTGAAATTTTCAGGGTATGTAGAACTTGACGGATAGAGCAAGAGCTGCCCTAGATTCAAAGTTCTCGGATGCTATCTTCTCTGAGATACTAGAATTACAGCGAGTGGCCCCAAGTATCGCCCTCGTTTCTCCAAGATGTGCTATATTCCATCGAGCTGAAATTTTTTTTTCAGAAACTAATCACTGTTTGCAATGGGTATCGTTTTATATTTTGTCCTTCAAATAATAAATATAAAGCAGAGCAAAAAAAAAAGAACAAATGTCTATTCACGTAAAAAAAAACTTCATGTTTTTCATCATCAGTTATCATGTCTACTTCTAATTCTATTTCTACCGAGAATGGTTGTGAGTATGAATATCAATTTCACTTATACCCAGGCTCACACCTACATCCGCTAACTGTTGCTGTCGAGTTATTGAGCTTACATTCACCAGTCTTTAGTTCCGGCGCAGGCATTAGATGGGCAGCCCATAGGTTGACTTTCCTAGCATCAATGTAGTCTGTTACGAGTTGTATTTCCTCAGTACTATTACTATAAATATTTATTCGAAATATAAAAACTAAACATACTCATTTCGTTCTGTTGTTGCTCTAAGTCGTTTATTAGGCGGTTGATAATTATTCGAACGATTTCGTTCACGTTGTCGTTGTTGTTGATCAGAGTCATGTCGTTTCATGAATATTTCATCTTCCATTTTACCAATACTTGTTAAAATAATTTCAACATGTTCCATATTAGGTATACCATTTTCAGTTAAATAATCTTTAAATTTAGGTACATTATCTTTATATATCCGTATTAGACGATCAATAGCATTTTCACGTATTTCAAGTGATGGTAAATGTGGTAAAAAATCATTTCCAACAAAAAAACACATAAATACCCAATCATCAATAGCACGTTCAAGATCCCATTGAAATGGTAATTGACAATGAATTTCTAAATCTCGATAAAGATATTCACGTAAAACAGAAAGTCTTACAAATATATAACGAGTTTCACCATAATTTTTTGCTGCTATTAATTCATCATGTTTACCAAATTTTTCTTTTGCAATACCTTTACATTCTTTCATATCATGTCCTAATTGTCCACATATATCACATGGACGTGGTTTATTTGGTTTAAATTCTTCACGTATTATTGTAAAATATGGTTCATGTGTTGCTAAACCAAGCATAATTAAATCAGCATCAGCACCACATAAAACATGATGCGTATTTGGATCATGATCTGGTTGTGCACGTTGTCGACGAATATAATCCATTATTTTATGTTCACCTTCACCAGGTACATTGGCATCGGATAGAATAATTTTTATTGAACGCCATGCTGGATTTGTATTCATTCGATGTCTTATATAATAACGAAGACATTCGGCTAATTTAGACATAAATGGTGTGCCCGGTGTAATACAATTTGAATCAAAATGTTCACTTTTTTCTTGTTGATTTTTATCTTCAGGTAAAAGACCACCATTAACACGTATTTCATTTTTAATTTTTTCCATTTGTTCAGTTTTATCAACTGTTTCTTTTGATGCTCGAAAACGTCTCGAACGTTGTTGATTCATTTTAGCTCGTGGTGCAACACCATCAATAGCCATATAAAGCAATTTACGTGGACGAACAATTGAAAATAAACGATCAATACATTCAAATATTAATATCATCATTTCATCTTCATTTTTTGGTGGTGGACGATCTTCCGGATGTGTACACGGATGAATTATTCCATTCATATCTAAATAAAGATTGTCAAACTGAAAGAAAGAAAAAACATTGAAATATTTAAAATTGTTGTTTTTTTTATTTACTTCGATTCCATTCGGATTCGGACGAGTTTCATCTAATGGATGATAAACACCTTGAGCATCTAAAAAATTAAACGAAAAAATTTAAAGAAATAATTGTTTAAAGAGTTTACCTGTTGAAGGATTATCTTCAATACAATTAACAATAATTGACGGATATTTTTTTGTTAACCAACGAAAAAATGCTGGGACTCCCATACTTTTATATTAAACAAAAAATATAATCTACAGTCAACAATAAAGAAAAAAAGATGAATTAAATACCCAAGAGAAAAATACTTACATTTTAATGGAAAAAAAAATTTTTTGTAAATGGAAAGAATATACGAACAAATTACAAAACTTAATATAACAACAACACGAAGATAGAGTCTTTGAATGATTCAGAATAGAAGAAGTTTTAGGTAAGAATAATAAACGAATACTGGAAAAGTTCAAAGTAGATGTCAGCAGACTACGTTTATATAAGATCGACCAATTGGTTATATGCAAAAGTTCCTGAATAAATGTCAGTTCATTTTGTATCGACTAAATTATGTGTATCTGAACTTGAAAAATACTTGTACAGAATCAACGTCAAAACTCTTTCATCGTATGCTCTGAAAAATTCTATCATTCCTTCTCGCTAAGAAGGGGGAATACAGCTTTAAACAATGCTAAAATGTGGTGTGTAAAAACAGCTTAGAATAATGAACATGGAAAAAACGAATCTCTCAGTATTTTTTTTATTCTGCTCAATGTAGTCAGTTGTGTGTTGATAGCCCTTTTTCGATTAGATGAACCATTCAATTCTCTACAAACTTGATAGAAAAATGTACTATATAACGCTAGAAGATGTGATCGAAAATTTGAAAAGCAATGATGTAAGAAATAACGTCAAAACTGAATGTGAAAATGATAATAAGTCGATAAAACTTTTCGAGACTTGAGCGATGCCATTTTTAACTAAAACCAGTTGAAATGATGATTGCCAATGACTCGAGATACTCACTTTATGAATATATCAGGGACAATGACTAGAAATGAAGAAATTGAACAGCAAGAAAAATAATACGAACATCAATCTGAAAATGGCTAGACGTTCGAGAGTGAGTTTTATCGATGTTACCACATGATTTATCGAGAGTAGAGAGGGTCATCTGATAAAGAAAAGATAAGCACTAACCTATGAAATAAACTGAAAAATACTCTGGGATCGATGCCTTCTGCGGTATTCGTTTCCTTCTACAGATCACACTTTAGGTGTGTTTAAAGACGTGCTTCTTACTGAAAGATGAGACATAAGAGAACTTTTCTGAAAAAACAGTTAAAAAGATCTTTCAGCGTGGATTCTGTGTAAGTACTTTTGAGTTAATTCACACATGTTTCAGCCAATGAAAAATGAGTCGACATTTGTGCAGAAATATTTTGCATCATCCGTTATTCATTCTATAGAACTTAAAAACTTTTGTATGAAAATCGCAAACAAAAATTTTATTGATTAAAAAGAAAAAGAAATGTTCAAATATAATTAAATAGTACAATAACGCATCATACATGCTGGTGGTGGAGGTAAATAATAAATATAGAATGAACCACAATTTGCTACACTTATACTAGAAGAAAATCGGCATACACTAGTATACCATGTAAAACATGCGGTACCATTTAAAACTTGTCCCGTTGATGATGGCATTGTACCATCATACCAACCAGTACCTTCAGGACCACATAGATTCATAGCAGGTGTTTGTAAAGGCAATTCAGTACCACCTGTACCTATAAATCTTATCCAAACTGGATATGTTCTATTAATAAACGGTGCTGTTGTATCACAACCAAGTGCATANTAAATCTTTTTTTTAATTTTTTTCATTTAAAAATCAAAGGTTTTTTCTTTTTTGGGTATTGAAAGGGGGGGGGGGGGGGGGGGGGGACATCCCTCTCCTCTCCTTACAACATACTCTGGAATTTGGTCAATTTATAGAGAGCATCTTCAAGTGTCTGAATATTACAATATCTTTTGATTTGAGTAAGATCTAACGGGAGTTATGAGGTTTGCAATATTTGATTGTTTGATGTTAGCGGAAAAATAAATCATTACTAACTGCTCTACTCTAACAATGTCTTCCGGAAAAAATTTGTTCATTGGGTTTGCTGCTGTGATTTGATATATTTTTCTTTTAGAAGACATCGTTTTCCTGATATTAGAAGCTCTAAGATGTGCCTGAGATTGATAGAGATTTTGTAAAACATTAAATTGTACATTTTGACATGATAAGTTTTCAAGAAAACTTCGTATGTGCAAATGCCTATCTACCATGTGTATTATCTTCAAATTACAGGACGATTGGACAATGTATTGAAGAAATATAAGAAAACTAAATCAGTGTCGTAGTTTTGGAGATAAATTAGAGCATACACAAATCACTGAAAATTTCCAAATCTGAGAATTAAAATTGATATTTTCATACGAAACTATGATAGATCATTTTGTTATCAACAGTAGGTTTTAAGTAGAAAATTTGAATTGTTTATGATGTTAAAATTAAAATGATCTATTGTAATTCTAAAATGACGATATTTTCAGTGACATCAACATGTTCTACTTTTATATCAAAATTACGACACTGTTTTTTTTTTAATATTTCTTTAACAGTGTCTAGTTGTTTTATAACTTGGAAATAATATACTTAATGGGTAGACACTTGTGCATACAAAGTTTCCTTGAAAAGTTATAATGGTAAATCGCATAATTTAACACTTCACAAAACCTTTATCATAAACCCATTGAACAAAATTTTTCTAGAAGGCATTGTAAGAGAAGATGACTTGATAATGATTATTTTTTTCTACTGACATCCAATGATCAAATTTTGCAAACCTTATAACTCCTGTTACATCTTACTCAACCCAAAAGATATTGTAATATTCAAACACATGGAGGTGTTCTCTAGAAATTGATCCAATTTTGAGAGCATGCTGTAGAAATTATTCTCCCTTAAATTATTTAATAGATTTGAATTGAATATTTCTGTTTTTATTTTCTGTTCAATATAGGAAGATGTTAGAGATAAACTAAAACCAATTCGTATACATATTGATTATTCTCTTACATCAAAGTTCGATGCAAATATTGTTCCACCAATACTCGATCCTGCAAATTCCTCATATGACTATAACGTAAAAAAAGAATTTCATAAGAAAGAAAAAAACTATGTATAAATAATATATTCTTTAGATTCCAATACAAAAAGATTGTGGTTCAGATGATATATGTATACCTAATCTTCAAATATCAACATCAAAGTATATATAAATGTTTTATGATTTATGATTGAAAATATTTCTTTGTTTATAGGTGGCCAGATGATTATAAAGTTGGCTTGACAAAAAAGATTCTTCTTGATATCAATGTAATTAATACAGGAGAAAATGCATACGATACTCGATGTTTTATACAATTACCAACCGGAGTTGAATATGTTAGTTCAAATTCAAGTTCAATTGTAAGAAAGAATTTCAAAAAAAAATTCTTTAATTTTATATGTTTTAAAAATCCTTTTAAGATGAATCTCTATTGTAATTTAATGAAACCATCTGATCGTATCATTGTTTGCCAACTTGGTAATCCACTTTTGGCTAATGGAAATGTAAATTCAATAATTTATGATTTGAAATTAGAAAATTTTTTTTTTTTTTGCAAATTTTTAGATATCATTACAAATTCATACAGCTGTTAAAAATTATTCAGCCATAGAATCCGATCCACTTTTATTTTTCATTAATGTTACAAGGTAAGTTTTATTGAAATAATATATTTGTTTTCAACTATTTGATGTTCTATACGTAAATTGAAAGATACACAGCAGACTTCTTGTATATCTATTGACATAATTAATTTCTCAAAGTAGAGAAAAATCGTATAAAGAGTTTATTAATGTTTTTCTCGAATGTCCTTCAACGAATCATAAGATAACGATTCGTTGTAAAAAGGTTTTTTTTTTATCGACGCATCAAATTTTCAAAAAAAATAATTGCTTTCTACAGGCCATAAAACAAAAGTTAAGTTTACTGAGAATCAAATATCTCGACAAAAGCAAACATTTTTTCAGCTGAAACTTTTAGAATATTCTATGAACCATTAGACTTTTCTATGTACAAAATGTTTCGTCAAAATTATGTTTTTTTTTGTTGCCCAGCAAAATCTCTAAAAGTACAAAAGCATAGAAGAAGATATTTTCTTTCCTGAAGCAATACTTTTAGGTTTTTTGATTTTTGTTTCTTTACATATGATCCTAAGTGTCTCCTATCTATTGAATATAGTTTAAGAATTTCAAAATAGCTTTAAAGTCATTAAAAAAAATGAAAAAGATGGAACTTTTTTCAAATAATCTATTAAGACATTACCGAATATATAAATTCTATAGCATAAGTATTTTCTCACATTTTGTCTTATATGAGAAAATGTTTTGTTGCTGCAAAATCGTATTCTTTGTTTATCTTCGTAAAAAATAGTTCTATCTAAATTTTTGTTGCACTATTCAATCATGAACAATAGAAGAGATTTCAATGACGAATTAAATGTTTAGAAGAAGAAATCAACGAGTTTGAAGTTAGCAGAAAATCATCAAAAAATATTCGAGAAAAGTAGATGATACATATGAGAAGCATGAAACTATTTATTCATAAATAAATTTTGATTTACACATTAAAAGAATTAAACTAAAAAAAATAAATGTTTTGTTCTTCTTAATAAGAATATTAGTCCGCATGTGGATGATGAGAAGAGAAACATTCCACATCAATACTCTATAAAAATATGGTAATATGGATATTACATTCTATTGTTTTTGCAACTACGGATGTCATTAGACGACGAAAATAGTAAACATTTTATAAAGAAATAATAATCAAAACAAAACATTACATCGTACTTAAATACCTTCTACTAAATTCATTGACATTCAGTACCAGTACTAAGTATAATCGAACTTCAGAAAAATGTCCTTAAGTACAAGAACAATAGTTAAGTAAAAAATAACTATATTTTGTATTAGTTCAATCAGTGATAGTAACGAACTCTATTAGACTTTTTCCAGTTTTACAGAGACCTCCTTGTTGATCGAATATAAGTTTCAAATGGTGGATACCAGTTCAGATTTTTCTTTCATTAGTAAAGGTTCATGGTATTGAATAGAGAATCTTTTGAAAACTTGATTAGTCATAGCTAATATAAACAAGATTATCTTATTGGTTTTATCAATAATTTAACAAATGTTGCATGTTTTTTTTTTCTTTAATTATCAACAAATTAAACTTTTGTTTTTCGTATTATTAGTGATAATCCAAATTCAACAAAATTAACAACAGAAATTGTAATACCAATATCCAGTTCACCAGAATTAGTCTTAATAGGGTACACAAAAATAAAAGAATAATATGCAATCAAATGTTTTTATTTTTGTTTTTTGATTCTAGTGTTGTTAAACCGGAACAAATAGTCTCAGATACGTCAGATCAAACTTTTGTCAGATATACTACTACTTCAAAAACAGATGATCTAGAAATTGTTCATACATATACATTACATAACAAAGGACCAAGTGATGCAAAACGTACAGAAGTTAAATTGATGTGGCCTATGCTTCCATTAACAGGATTCAATGAACAAATACCATTATTATATGGAATTGATCTTCCAAATATTATTCGAGTGTCAGATCCAAAAGCAAATAAAGATCGTTGTCATATCTATTCTTCAGTAAGAAAGTACAGTTAATATAAAAATATTGTCATTTATTTTAAATCTTTTAGTCTACATATCAAATTCCTCGTATAGAAAATGATCGTAGTAAATTTCCTTCTTTTTTTGAAAAATTTCGTCCAACAATGACAAATAATTTTATTTTACAAGAACAATCTTCAAATGATCGATCTCAGGGATCATCATTACCAATTTATTGTCATGGGCCATTATGTAAAACATTTATATGTTATATTGATACATTACCTATTGGTCATAGTGTTTTAATACAATTAAAAGCTACATTACGATATAATCATTTTCAATCAGTAAATTAATTTATAAAAACAAAAGAAAATCTTTAAGAAAAAGCATAATTTTTTTTTTCTGTAAATTAGAAACTGGATCGTTCGAAACCCTTTATTATTGTTTCAAATGCAAGTGCACAAGTACGAGAAATACCATTGAAGTTTTCAAATACAAAATTTCAACAACAACCAATCGTTGAATTAAAGGTATTATTTTTTTTATAGATTTACAATAATAACAAAAGCAGTTACATCTATTCCTAGTTGTTTTTTTGGTGATAGTCAGTTTCTCGTAGTTTGAAGATTGAATCGTATTTTTCAATTGTTAGACTTGATCTGTTCTCAATCGATGACGATGTTTATGTTTATAGAAACATAATATTCGATAAAAAGCTTCGCGAAATTTAACATGAAGAAAAGAATAAAGTAATGGATTAATTGTTGAATTTAACCATAATAGCCAAAATGTTACTTCATATATAATTGAAGATATACATTTATCTTCGTATTTGCATAAAGCACGTATAAGTGTTAATAATGTATATGGACACCAGCATATAACAAAAGCAAAAACAAGTATAAATAAATTTTTTGCTGCTTTACGATCACGTGCTAATGATGTTGATTTAGAATAACTTACTGGAAAATTTTTTTTTCGATCTTTTTCTTTATTTTTATCAGTTAAATTTCCATCAGATGCATTGGATTTTAATTTAATTACATTCTTACTTATGATTCCACGTGAACGCTGTCGTATATTTAAATAAACCAATAAATTAAGTGTTGTTAAACTAAAAAATGGTCCAAAAAATTCTACAAATGCTGTTGTTACTAGATATGGAAAATTTTTTGCAAATGGTGGACCACATATTCGATATTGATATGGTTCACTACTGGGTAACCAATCCCATAATATAATTGCTGGACCTATTATCAAAAACAAGAACATTAAAATAAAAACTTGAAGCAAATATCTTATCAAGTTAAACTGTGAGACTTGATAAAGTTATTTTAACAACAGTTTTTTCACACTTTTACATAGAAAGAGAAGCTAGTAATTGAAATAAGTCATGAAACATTCTATTAAAAACAGAAACATTTATTTAGTCTGTGGCAAATCCTTACACGAAGGTTAATGTTCATGTAGACCAAAATATTTCGAAATAGTTAGATACACAATATTTGTTGCATACAAACGATATAATAATCTGAGAAAAGAGAGCTTATAGTTGTGCATAAGAAGTCGACATAAGTTCAGGTTATAGATCAGAATTATCTATCATAATTATCAAGTCTATGAAATAATGAGTCTAGAAGCAACTTGCATATCAGTATCAATAATATTATAGTGAGATTTTACTTCTTTCTTAGTGTAAATTGTATCAAATTAGAACAAATTAAAGTTTCATTTTTAGTTTTTAGGTGGTTGGAAATTGCATAAAAATATAAGTTACCATCTAATATCAGATTCAGGTCAATCAAGGATTCTCACTTTGAACGCACTCAATGTTGACGCAGGATAGAAGTTTTAGTTGAAACCTTTATTAGTCTCTAGATAAATGTTGAATTCGAATTCTTGTTGGTGAACTATGTTGAAACAAAGTAATACAATCATCAATAAGAAGAAATTAAGTTCTGACTCAAACTTTTCCGAATAATTTACCATAAAAGCTGTTCTTCTGTAGGATTTTATTCATAACTTCACGAATCCTATTTTACTTTCTCCGTTGACGATTGTATTACCTTGTTTCAACACAGTTCGCTGGCAAGAATTCGAAGCCGGCATCTTTCTAGAAACTAATGAAGGTTTTAACAAAAACTCCTTTTCGATCCAACGTTGTTAGTGTTTTTTCTCGGATTCAAGATTGAATGTAATCTCAGTTTAAACGTTAAAATGTATGTTTTGAACTTTTATCCTAATTCAAATTTGTACAATCATCTATTTCGGCTAAACCATAATAGCATACTTTCTTTCCCTTATGCTGCTAGGTATCATACAGCATTTTTCATATAGTGTAATTGGTCTTTGTGGTTCGATGAAGCTGCAACTAATACTGAAGCGTTAATGTTATAGATCATCAAATGTTAGATTTTATGAGATTCCATAAAGTTCTATGGAACTGCCCGCAGGCTTCCATTAGATTCAGTGTCATTCTACTTGGCAGCACAATTCGAGAATATTATAAAATTTGATGATTCCTCACGAGATCTGCTGTTTTCTTAACATATACACGTTCCATTCCAAGCTTTGGTGAAAAAAATATCAGAATTTTTGATATCTTTTCAAAAAAAAAATCCAATGCCGGAGGATTAATCATATTTTAAAGAAATCATTAAATAAGACCTATTTACCGTAATTAAGTATGGCAACAATCCATGTTCCAAAAACAAATTTTAATGCGCGTCTTATAGATGTATCTGATAAATAATTTAATCCTTTCGATACCATTTGATAGCGATCATAAGAAATAACAACAATACATAATGTTGATGCTGAACCAACAACATAATCAAATACAAGCCATAGTTTACATAGATGATAACCAAGATACCATTGACCGAATATAAATTTATGAGCATAGAGTGGAATACTAGAAAAACAAAAGCATTATTACGAATATTGTTATACAAAAATTTCTGCACGAATAAGATATTAACGAAGGAAAAGGAAATCGTTTCCCGGCCAGTTTGTTTTTTACCTTAACAGACTTCCTAATATGTCTGAAAGTATTATTGAAATATAGAGAATTATTCAAAAAAAAGAACTCAAGACATAATATACATCCTTACTTTTAATTAGACACGAAGAGATAATTAGGAATGTAAATGTGTCTTATGGCATATTTTAAAGCAGAACTTCACACAGAAAGATTAATGATTTATTATTTGCTCTAAGGTTTACTATTTTTAAATAGATTGCATATGACTTTTCAAGATTACTATTTCTTTCGTTTGCACATGAAAAAAAAACCATATGAACTTATTAAACATACCATATAAGACCAATCAATAAATCCGCTATTGATAAATTAAGAATAAAATAATTTGAATAAGTACGTATTGTTGGTTCACGTATAAATGCAATAATAACCAACAAATTACCTGATACAGTCATAAGTGTCATTAATGACACTAAAAGTATAAGAATACATCTTGTAATATGTGGCGAAAAGATATCCTGTGTCATAGTATGATTTTTTAATAAACTTAAGTTTTGAATTGTATTTGATAGAATAGTTGATGAAGAAAAAAATGATTGATTTATGTTATTTAATGTTCCATTATAAATAAGATTAGAAGGTAAAACATAATTGTAATTTAAGTGAGTAGTTGCATCATGAGCATTCGATAAAGCAGACCATTTTGAATTCATTATATAGCATTGCGATTAGTATTCATTTTTGAAAAAATTATTATCTGAAAAAAGATAGATATAGATGTATGTAAGACGGATAAAAAGTTTCATCTTACTGTGTAGTTATGTCAGAATGAATATAAAAGAAAAATAACTTTCCTGGATTATGAATATTATTGAGTATACAGAAAAAAATTCTGATTTTCTCTTGCGCTCTCTCTCTCTCCCTCCCTCTGTCTCTCATCTTAATATTTCTCAAATAATGAAGAGGATACCTAGAAAATGAAACTAATGAGATTGAGACATTAGCATGACACAAGAAGGACGATTAAAAACAGGAAACAAGTTTGGCTTGCATGCTTATTCGCCCTTTACTACTCTTACAAAGAAAAAAAGACGCTATACATATTCATGTACCATGTATGTAACTAGGCAAAAGATCGATAAACATCTGGAAAAATTTTACAATGGCGAAAATACTTTTTTTAACAGAATAGATCCTCTCTTCAGGAAATCTGTCGTTATGAATCTCTTGATTTACCTATATCATTGAGTAGAAACTAAACATGCATTTATTAAGCTCCTATCATAGAGTATAATCCAGAAAAAAAAGCATTATAAAGAAAAAATATTTGATAATTTTGAGCTTCAATACATTACTTATTTACTGTTCTACTTTAAAAAAGAACAAATGAAAAAAAGTTTATTAATTGGTTATGAGAAATAATTTTTTAATCAATTTCTTTATTCAACTGGTAGATTTTGATAAAAAAAAAATATTATATATATATAGCGAATTTACAAAGAAGATTGATAAAAATGTTGAAATGATGAGTAAATCACTGTGTAGAAAATAATTGACACCATTAGTTCAACAGCAACAGAAGCATGCAAAATATGTAAATTATTATTGCTGTCATCTGTTGCCAGTTATTTCTGTAAATAGATTATTATTATTTTATTCGAGTAAATTATTGTTAACTGACTGAGTGTTCAAGGTATTATGGTCCTTTTACTTCTCTGACAAATATGACCGTAATCATTATTATTAAAATTGCTGTCTTTCAAAGTGCCTTATATTTAGAAATAAAACTAGAAACAGACAGAATTACAGAAGACGTAGAAGTATAAGAAGAAAGTATGTCAACTGTAGATATTTTTACTTTCAAGTTATTGGCTAAAACCAATGTATAACAATAGTTATGAATTAATCATTAGATAAAAGATTTTTAAACTAAATTTCTCAAGAGAAAATAATCTTCAGAGACATTTCAGTAAATTCATGTGTGAATCGTTGAACAAAAATATCGTTTAATAAGTTCAAAGTGTTCTTTTCAGGTTTTCTCTTTACTTATGTGTTCTAATTAAACTATCTTCATAAAAATATAAAATGCATGCATTTAGTTTTTTTATTTTTGATACTCAACATCGATGTTATTAACTTTGGATTTGTTTAAATACATAAAAGTTTCATATCTCAATTTTTCTCACAAATAAGAGACGAAAACTATGAATGGATCACTAATGCATCAGTCTAGAGGTATAAATATTGATCAAAGATTCTGTAAAAAATCACATTTAAAGACGAACGTGCTAGAAATATGTAATCGACAATATTGTTCTGTCTATTGTTACTAATTAATAATTATGACAGTGACATGAAAGAATAATGAAGACGAGAAGAGATTGTCTTCCGTATCTAAAAAATTTTGATGACCGTTGAGAAAATAAAAGTATTATTAAATAAGAAATAGGCGTATAATCATGTTTATTTTTCTTTGACTACTTTCCAATGTTTGCCAGACATGAATATTTCTTGACTATATATATATATATATATTATTTCTCTATAGTACAAAAAAAAATAAAAGCAAAAGTTAATTTAGAATACAATGTGAAGAGATGCTTGGTATCGGCGGGTTACGGAACAATCAAACAAATGACATCCGTCATATTGTTGCGTGTACGTGAAGAATAAGAAACTCTCAAAAGTTTTTTTGTCATAATAAACATGAGTGATTAACGAAAATTCTTCAATGAAGATAATATTAATCATAAATGAGTAATGTAGACCAGATACTTTAGTCTACAATTATTCCTTCGAGAAAATTAGAAAAGGCTGCATTATTGAAATGGTTAAGAAAAGTGTGACTGATATAAAGAAAAAGAAACTCAGCGAGAAAGGAAATAATTAATTTTCTTGTAATCTTCAATGTTGGCAAGATCTTTTGATTATTATTTATCTGAATGTAACTTATAGCAGATAATAGCATGTCATGCTGAAGTCTTTAACATCTTCTTCATTTTTCCAGCCAGGGAAAAAGAGATGACTTCCTAAATGAAATGAGTGAGAATATGCAAATCAAGCTAATATTACTGCAAAAGATTGTGTGACAACGTGTTAATTTGATTCTATCGTACTTCATACGCATTAGAATATTATTTCTTTTTAATTGTTGACTACAGAGATAAAAAAGATATGTATAAACGTATATGCATACATGGAAAAAATATTAAAGAAAAGCGAAAAAACAAGCCAACAACAAATCATTATATATATCATCTGCTTAAAGATAGTTATTTAACGCAAATTATAAACAACTATTATCTTACTCTACGTTTTTTCAATCTATCGAATGATCTTCAATTTAAAGAGAAAAACACACAGTGTATTTCATTTATATATTTTTTTTCCTTTCTAGCTTGAAACACAAATACCAGCTACTGTTGAACGATCATCTCAACATTGGGTATGGCTTATAGGCCTCAGTATTACAGCTGGAGTTATTCTTTTAATCATACTTGTTGGTGTTCTCTGGTGTGTAAGTATCATTCAATAGATTTTAAAAACAGAATTAAGTAACTAATTACCTACTATTGTTTTTGTCAATGTTACTTACCGAATTTTGAATTTCGACTATATTTTTTTGTCATGATGTATTGTATACATATATGGTAAAAATAGTTCGTAAATGAAGAGTTTTGCACTAAATATATTCACTTACGACAGTACCAACAGTTGCCATCAAGATACTATTTGGTTCTGTAATCATCAATCATTCATGGCTTCGTATTCTGCTATAATTAGTTTGTATGTTTCGTATGCTTTCTTGTACGATTTTTGCCGATAAAAAACGACTTTTTTTCATAATAATAGTCTTCGAAGAAAAACGTTTTGCTAGAAAAAATAAATAATACTTTATCGCCTGTTCTAGCTGAAGTTATGAACTCCATGGAATTGAGCGTAGAACTTTTGTAATGTAATATTCGCACGTTCAATAAGTATTCATAGACTATGTGAACTATTTCTTTTAATAGAATTCAGAGATTTAGTAGATGAAGTTTTGTTTAAGAATAATGAAAATTTAGAGATTTATTTTTTTCTTCTGAATAGTTGAAGTCATTACAATTATTTGCGTCCTAATTCATCGATTCAATGTTAATGTTAAAGGGGTTTTTTAGCTTATTTTTTAATCTAAAAAATAAAAACGTCTATCGCAAGTGTTTTGAATACTACAGAGTATTCTCAAGGTAATGAATAACAAGTGTGAATAGCAAAAAAACAAACATGACCTCTTTTTATTTTCTGTTATATTTTAGTTTCTATGTAGATGATAGAAACTAGATATATATATATGAAATTATCAGAAGTTCTGGAAAACAACAACAAAAAAGAAATTCTTATATTTATCGTATCATTTTATTTTAGTGTGGTTTCTTTAAACGAAATCGTCCCCAATATCCAGTATCAGCTCAAGATGATTCTCCAACTCATGACGATCATTATCATTTATCATCGTCTAAACAATTTGGAAGGCATCCTTTACAAGTTGATAATGATGAAATATCAAGTGATGATAATGATGACAATGAAATGATGATACAAAATCCGGTCGATAGTTTACCTATCGTTGTACCACAACATTCATCTCATTTTATTCAACAACAACAACAAAGAACTCAATTTCTCTATTAAATATAACCATATAAAAATTAATCTCTTTTTTTTAATCTAATTTTAGATGTTATATATATATGTCTGTCTAAGTCGTTGTTCTTTGTTTTTTATCTATTTTTTGACGTGAGAATAATGATAATAAACAAAATTGGTATTGATTCTCTCTATTATGTTTATGTGTCGATATAATGCAATCATCTCTTCTCTTTTAATCGTGTACATATGCTTGCTTGAAGTTATTGAAGAGAAAATTGAGATGTATGTGATTGAGGCGACAACAAAAAACATTTGAGCTGCCGCTTTTTCAGCAGCAACCCAGTATGTATGCGTCAATATGTTTGGTTGTCACGGACTTTTGAAATGAAATGTTACTGATGTTTGGTCTTCAAGCAATCAAAGAAGTGTGGCCGTTGCATCTCTTCGAGCAAAAGAAAAAAAATGTAAAACTGTCGCGTGTAAAAAAGAGAAAAGAAGAAAAAAGAGCTTAAGAGAAATAGAAAAAAGAATAGAAATCAATGATCGTTATTGATTCTCTGACATCAATTTTGTAAAAGAGAACGTTTTCTTTGTTTAACCATTGCATACATAAGTAGTAAAAAAAAAAACCTCCATTTTTTCACATGGAAAATATTTAAACAATATTAAAATTAGACAATATGATGAATCCATCACGACCAAGTACATCATGTCAAATGCAAAGACCGCCATTAACGGATGATGATGATCGTATTAACAACAATAATAATAATAATAATAATAATAACAATAATAATAATAATAATAATGGAAAAAATTTATTATCCAGAAGTCTTACATTTGATAATGAACAAAGAAAACAACAACAACAACAACAACGAATAACAAGACCAAGTCGACCATCGCCACCTATTAGTGAGCAATCACCACAACGTTTAGGTCGTAGTTTACTTAGTAATGATAATTGGCGACAAGAAACGATGATTGATGTTCGTCTTAATGCTAAAGCTATCGAACAAAGTGATCAAAATATTCTCTTTGGTAAAGGTAAGATTTAATTGAAAAGAAAAAAATCCAATACCAA